CTGCCCCTCAGACTGGAGAGGGAGAGGGAGAGGAGTGGGGGGAGGGGGAGAGGAGAGGGAGGAGGGGGGAAAAGGGAGACGGGGAGGGAAATGGGAGGCGAGGAGGAGGCGGAAATTTTTTTCAATAAAAAATTATATTTAAAAAAAACACTTGAAGTAGGATTTCTGTCCTTTTTTTCATAATTTTTAAATGGAGTTACACAGTATAAAAACTGGTAGGCGATGGTGGCGCACGCCTTTAATCCCAGCACTCGGGAGGCAGAGGCAGGCGGATCTCTGTGAGTTCGAGACCAGCCTGGTCTACAGAGCTAGTTCCAGGACAGGCTCCAAAGCCACAGAGAAACTCTGTTTCGAAAAAAACAAAAAACAAACAAAAAAAAAACCTGGTATAGGTAGTTGCTTCCAATTATCCTACGTCTGGTTCTTAGAACCCATTTCTGGTTGTGTGATCTGGAGCCAGTGAAGAATAATATCCCTGGAGTAATAAGGAATCATCAGACTTGGTCATAAAAGCCAGTGGCTTAAGTCTTACAGGCATCTCTGGTGTTTCCATTCTTTGATGAAGACCCCCCTCTCGTTGCAAGCTGGCAGATGGCAGAGCAGGAAGTGAGGGCAGCTTTGACATGTTCATAGCCAGGAGAAACATAGGCCCCAGTCTCCAGATATGGGACCTAAATCCTGTCCCCCTCTTCTAGTAAGCTTGGAAGTGGGTAACGCCCAGTGAACCTCGAGCCCCCTGAAAGTCCTCAGGTGACCACAGAGCTGGGAACAATACATTTGTTGCTGTGTGCATCAGCATTTGGGGGGTGGGGAGAGACAACAGAACCTCACCATATAGCCCTGGCAAGCCTGGAACTTGCTATGTGGATCAGGCTGGTAGTGAACCCACAGAAAGCTGCTTGCCTTTCCTCCTGAGTGCTGGGATTTAAGGCGTACACCACCATGCCTGGCCATCGGTGTTATTTTTACTGCCTAACTGCGTTGCCCTGAATATTCTTTAATTTGTTTAACTTCTCACCAGCTGATGGCCGTTTGGGTATCCAGTTTAGGCTATTACGAGTGAAAATGCTTTGAACACTCGAGCACAAGCCGTTGAGTGGACATATGTTTTTATTTCTTTTGGATAAATATGTAGGTGTAGGATTTAGGGGAACAAATGCTTTATTTGTTAAGAGACTGCCAGTCTGCTCTCCCAAGTGGCTGTGCCATTTAGTGCTCCCTCTACGATGCGAGAGATGTCCTGTTGCCTCGCCTCCTTGCCAACACTTAACATAGCGAATCTCTGCTCTGGACCAACGGACAGCTAGGAAGAGGTATCTCATTGCAGATACAATGTGAAATATTTTTAAGTGCTCACAGTAAGAGCAAAGGGAAGGCAACACCAGCGCTGCCCCCGTATCCAAGGCATTCCCGTCACACCTAGCGGGGGCCCCTCATTGCCAACGGGACAGCGGGTAAACCATTTCCAAACGCCCCACAGCCAGCTTTCTCAGACCATTTTGGCACCAGGTGTGTTAGCGTGTGTCCTCCAGTTAGCGGACGTGGTACAGAATGAGGGATATGAGAAATTTAGTAGGTGCTCACATCTTGGGAAGATTAGGAAAATGAACTGGACTGAGAAAGCCTCCACTCCTCGATCCCCACCTGACATATCTGAATAGAAGGGAGAGGTATATACATGACAGGTTTGGTCAACCCAGCAGAGGAGCAGCGTGTACACTAGGGGGGGACACTAGGGGGTTCCTATGCACGTGCCCACCAGGGTTTTGTAATGGAACAGATACTTGAGGCAACTCAGAAGAGAAGGCTTACTTATTGACTAACTTGTTTTACTGTTAGGAGACTTGCATTGAGAACCTTGTGCATGGACAGAAATCAACATGACTGAGCTGCATCCACGGCCTTTTTGGTCTGAGACCGGATCTCGGTGAGTGGTCAGAACTATCCTGAAACTTTTATCAAGCCCAGCAGACCTTGAACTTGCATCCTGCTTCAGTCTCCTGAGATTAGAAGTCTGTGTCACCAAGCCCAGCTGGAAAGACTCCATCTTTCAAAGGTTTCAGCGTATGTCAGCTGTTCCTTTGTTTCCTGGCTACAGTGAGGCAGAATGTGTCACAACAGGGTGTAGCAAAACAAAGTTCCTCACCTCATGCTTGCCAGACAGCGGAAAAGGTGACGGAAAGGGGTCGGAGACATTTATATCCTTCCAGGGTAACTCTTCCAGTGACCGAATTCCTACAAGTAACTGCCACCTGCTAATTTTCTGACACCTCCACATATAATAATGCCATCAAACTGGCGGGATTAATTCATTGATTAAGTTGGAAGGCTCATGATCTGAGCACCTTGCAACGACTGGATCCATCACCTGAGGACCAAGCCTTCAATGAGTGAGCCTTTGGAGGCGAGGAAGCACACTTCTTACTCAAACTATAGCAGTAGATACGGCTGCCTCATAACCCTGCTCATCCATTTATCAAGGGCAACCCAGAAAAAGGAGGCTCAGATCACACACTCCCACAGCTAGGGGGAGCCTATAGGCTGTCTTCTCCAAGCTGCTTTGGGTCAGTGCTTTGGCATAGCAATCGAGAAGCAAACTAGAACATACAGCTTCCATAGACAGTGTTCCAGACGTATAACATCTAGGTTCAATCTCCAGCATCACACACACACCACACACACACACACACACACACACACACACACACACACACACACCTACCACTGACTGATACAGTACTGCAGCGGTATTCTTCAAGCTTACAATTTGAGAGGGAAATTATCTGGCCAGAGTAAAGAGAGCGCAAAATCTCCACTGAGATTTCAACAGTACTTTTTGAGAGCTTCTTCATCTCCAAGATAAAACTAAGGCAGTTACCAGTCATCCCGATGTCTTTTCCTGTCCTGTCCTATCCACCGTTGAGCCCATCTCGGGCCCAGATTGGTGAGAACGCCAACCTAAAAGACCAAACACAATCTCACAAGGGTCCTGTGGGTCACACAGAGGAGTCAGATGTCACCACCTGGAGGGCAGGACGCAGACTGCACAGGATTTAGGAAAGCAGTCTTTCAGATTAAAGCATGCGGCGCCGATCTTTCGCTTTTAAAGAGAGGCCGGAGTTTCCAACTTTCATGTAAACGCTTTTATTTCTTTAAGTTAGCAGTTGACCTAAGTTTCAACTGGCTTTAGCCAAGTCACCAAGCACTTGCCCCAGTCTCCAGGAGAATTGTCTAGGCAACCGTCAGCTGCAACGCAACCCTCAGGACAGCCAGCACAGCTGCACTACGCCTGCGCGCAGGCTCTTTTTAGCGCAAGCACCGCCCTACCCGCCGCCACAACGCAGCCTCCCGTTGCCATGGAGCTGCGGGCCCAAACGACGCAGCCTCAGACCCACGGTGGCTGAGAGGCAGTCGGCCCTCCGTTAAGGGGACATTTCTGAGGGACTAGTGTCAAGGAACTGTTCCTCCGGGGCCACCGCAGAGGAAGTGTCGCCGAGGAGTTGCTTCTGCGGTGGTGGTGGTGGTGGGGGGGGGGGGTGACGACCCTTCTGCAGAACCACTCCCTAGAGGTCATCTGGGAGGGGCTGTTGCTAAGAGGTCGTCTCCAGGGACCATTCTTTAAGGGCTGTTGATAAGGGGCTATTGCGGGGCAACAGTCCATTCCTTTGCTGAAGTCTCATCCTGAGGGGCGTTCCTGGACTGACAAGAGAGGTGGGTACTGATGACGCGATCTGCCGGGGGCTACCTTGAGGATGTGCGGGACATGGGTGTCTGGCTTCTCTGTGTGACCGCATGGCTGTGAGCCACGTGGTTACCACAGTTTATGAAGAGGTATAGTCAAACCTTGCTGGAGAGGACCAGGTACCAGTCTGAGAGATGCGAGGAAGACTCACATCCATACAGAACCCTTTTGCTGGAAATGGATAGACCTCTTTAGGTTGGTTCTGCGTAAAATAATCCCTTTATCTTAGTAAAGATGCTTGGCAAAATACTCCCCGAATGTCTGCTGTGGGCCAGATACTGAGCTAGGTGATGTGTGGATGCTCAGGTACTCACTGACGGATGTTCTCTTCAGACAAATCACGCCTAACTGCTTTTTTTTAAGTGGGGTTTTATTTTTTTAATATTTATTTATTCACTTATTTATTTATTTATTTATTATTTATGATGTATACAATATTCTGTCTGTGTGTATGCCTGCAGGCCAGAAGAGGGCACCAGACCCCATTACAGATGGTTGTGAGCCACCATGTGGTTGCTGGGAATTGAACTCAGGACCTTTGGAAGAGCAGGCAATGCTCTTAACCTCTGAGCCATCTCTCCAGCCCCCATGCCTAACTTCTTGTGTACAATTTGAGTACTGACTATCAAGCAAATATCAAAAGCCCGCCCAAGCCAATAAGTAGAACCTCGTCTTCACCCATAACACAGTACCCCTCTCTCCCGTTAACTATGCACAGACCCATAGTCCCCGTTTCTAAGTCGTGTGTAATCACACATCTTTGCTTATCTTTAGATTAGAAACTTATTCTTGAACAGAAGTTTTTGTTCATTAGTTGGTTGGTTTTTCAAGGCGGGGTTTCTCTGTGTAGCCCTAGCTGTCCTGGAACTCACTCTGTAGACCAGGTGGCCTCGAACTCACAGAGATCCGCCTGCTTCTGCATCCCGAGTGCTGGGACTAAAGGCGTGCGCCACCACCACCCAGCCTGGAACCATGTCTTAGAAGCAAACGTAAATTTCTGGCTTCATGACTGTCAGGATACATTTCTGTTTTGTTATGTTGACCCTGGAACACTAATGTGGGAAGTGAGATTTCCTGCAGTCTTCTCTAAGGAGAGGGTGTCCCTTGCTTCAGAAGTTAGGGTAGGCAGCCCAGTGGCTTCAGAGATGTCCAATGTTCCAATACTCTGGACCAGTAAAAACAGGATGTTCTGTGGATGAGAGGAACTGGGGTAGTTCACCTGGCTGCCTTTGAGATGGAGGAGTTATCCGGTGTCATTTCAGTGGGTTCAATGCAGCTACACTTAAAAGGTCGTGTGAGTGTAGAGAGAGAACATCAAAGACTCCAGCGTGGTTGGCTCAGCTGGCGCTGCAGCTTTGAACAGGTTAGGATAAGGACTGCACACCATCGTGAAGAAGCAAGAAGACAGACCACACGCTCTCTGGCTTCCAAAAAGGAACACGGTCCTGCTGTTCCAGGACTGGCCTCAAAGTGTTGTGGAAACTGTGAAGAAGAGAAAGACAAACCTAGGGTGATGCCCAGTGAAGCTTACTGTCGGGCCGCGGGGCTGGGGAACAGGAGGCACTTAGACCAGACGGAACCCTGCAGCCTGGGTCAAAATCTGGGGGCAAAAAGAGGAGAATCTCTGTGGACTAGAACAAAAGCAAACTCATTCTTTCTGTAAATGCCTATTTATCTTTGATATTAAGATAATAGCAAAGCTGGATACAACAGCATACTATTATAATCCCAGCTTTCAGGTGGCTGAGACAGGAGGATTGTGAATTCAAGGCAGTAATGAGATGCTGCCACCAAAAAAGAAAGAAAGAAAGAAAGAAAGAAAGAGAAAGAAAGAAAGAAAGAAAGGAAAAAGAAGAGAGAGAGAGAGAGAGAGAGAGAGAATAAATTGGGAAGTCAGAGAGCTCTCCAAAGCCAGAATCTGCTATACAATCCCACCCACTACTCTCGTGATTTTATCTATGATTTGCTGAGAAAAAAACAGCTAGGGCTAATTGGAGGACATCATGATAATCATGACTTAAGAGATGGCTCAGAGGTTGAGAGCACTGGCTGCTTTTCCAGAGGTCCTGAGTTCATTTCCTAGAAGCTACATGGTAGCTCACCATGTGAGATCTGGTGCCCTCTTCTGGCCTTCAGGCATACATGGGAGGTAGAACACTGTATACATAATAAATCAATCTCAAAAAAAAAAAAAAAAGATGGCAGTGGTTGTGTCGATCTAATTCCACACACACCTGCTGACACACAGACTCAGACCCCTGTGCTCCAGACCGTGGGTTCTCAATCCTTTAGTACAATTCCTCACGTTGTAGTGACCCCCCGTGGTGAGCGGAAAGAAAATGCCCACTAACGAGAAGTATGGCCTTGTTGGATTGGGTGTGGTCTTGTTGGAGAAAGTGTGTCACTGTGGAGGCGGGCTTTAAGGTCTCATGTATGCTCAAGTCATGCCCAGTGAGACAGACCACTTCCTGTGGCCTGCAAGATGTAGGTAGCCCTGTCAGCTCCAGCGCCATGTCTGCCAGCACACTGCTTTCTCCTGCCATGATGATGATGGACAGAGTTGTAAGTGAGCCACCACAATTGAATGTTTTCCTTTATAAGAGTTGTAGTCATGGTATCTCTTCACAGCAATAGAAACTCTAAGACACCCAACCATAGAATTACTTCATTGCTACTTCATAACTAATTTTGCCACTGTTAATAACTTGTAATGTCTGATGTGCAGGATATCTGTATGTGACCCCCAATGGGGGAGGAGGGGTCAAGGCCCACAGGTTGAGAACTGCTGCTGTAGAATAATGAGATAAATTTGTGCTGTTTTAAGACAGAAAATATGTAGTAATTTATTTAAAAATAATGGAGAAAGCAAAGGATTTGCTCTTTTTCCCCTGTGCTATGTCTGGCTCCTCATATCTAATCCGAAGCTCCACCGCTGAGTTCACTGTTGATTTATCAGTCTCTTCATGTTTCATGTTGTCGCCAGCACCTGCGAGACCTGTATGCTCCCAAGTCTGATGTCTGTGTAATGATAGCTCAGTGTAACGTTGCAGTTCCCTTATTACGGATGACGTTGAACAACTTTTCTTAAGTTATGATCACGAGATAGTTTATCATCCAAAAGAGAACCTATTAATAACACTAGGAGAACAGATGTGCAGCTGGACACACTGTTAATCTGATATGGTCGCCGTATTATTAGCCAAATGTCTCTTATTATAAAGCTCCTGATAACAAAGCTTTGGCTTGTGTTTCTTCTGGGCAGTATATTCTGCATGGACTCAGTAGGTCCTTTTCATGGTTTGATGAAAACCTTTTAAGTTATGGATTGTGGTTATCTTCTCCCCCATAGCTTTTCTGAGTCTCTTTGGGATGTCATCTGATCAGAAGTTTTAAATTAAAATATAGGTGGCTCTGCCAGCATTCTCTCTCATAGCTAATATCCTTGGTGTCTTATTTAGAAACCTTAAGGTCATGACTCCGCCTTGGCCACTGCCACTGTGATGGTTTCACTTTTCACATATGAGCTTTTAATCCTCATGGATTCCAGGAAAGGGTCCAGCTTCTGAGCATGCCCACTGAAAAACACCCAGTCCTGCTGGTGAGCAATGAGATTTTGTACTAAGTGGCATCAGTCTTTAGCAACCAGTTTCTGGATCCCTTATCTGATCCTATAGGTCTGTTTGTCTTTGCCATGGCACATTCTAATTCTGTAACTTCATAATACGTCTGAATATGGTAGGACACTCCTCCCTCATGCTCCTTCAGCAATGTTGCTCCTTGTTCTACAGATATTTAAAAAGCGCTGCGCAGGTTTCTAATTTATTGTTCCCTGTTGTGTATGTATGCACACATGTACATACACATGTACACACCTGCTGTATGCACACATGTACCTACACATGTACACACCCCTGCTGTATGCACACATGTACCTACACATGTACACACCATTGTTGTATGCACACATGTACCTGTTGAGACTTAGATGCAGTTTAGGGTATCTAAAATTGACTTATTGGCTACAGGAACTCCCCAGTGACTGAACCTGAGTTCTAGTTATTTATTTGTTTGTTTATATTTTATTCTTTTTGCATTTTTTTCTTACAGCAAATTCCATAATCACAAAAGTCAGGAGAAAGAGGTTGAGGAGATGGTTGAATTGTTTTTGTTTTGTTTTTTGGTTTTTCGAGACAGGATTTCTCTGTAGCTTTGGAGCCTGTCCTGGAACTAGCTCTGTAGACCAGGCTGGTCTCGAACTCACAGAGATCCGCCTGCCTCTGCCTCCCGAGTGCTGGGATTAAAGGCGTGCACCACCATCGCCCGGCCGAGATGGTTGAATTGTTAAAGGCATTTGTAGCTCTTGCAGAGAACTGAATTTTAATTCCCAGTGCCAAAATTGGGCCATTTACAACGCCTGTAACTCAAGTTCCAAGAGATCTGAAACCTTCTACTGGCCTTTGCAGACATCTTTGAGTTCACACATACATACACACACACACACACACACACACGCATACACACATGCACACACACATACACAAATAATAACAATAGCAAGTGAATAAATAAAAATAAACAAATCTTGAAAGTTTAAAACGGACAGGTAAGGATAACATGAGCCTAGATTCCCGTCACAGTACCCCAGTGCTGTGCACTCCTGCTGCCATTTGGGCTGACACATTGCAAAGACAACCAGTCCTGCTCTGCTCTCCCTGGTAAAACCGTAGTGTGCCCCTCTACTGTTAGCTGGCCCACAAAATTATATCAACTCCAACAAAACAGTTATTTCTTTTCTAAAAAAGATGTATTTATTTATTTATTTTGGCTGGAGAGATGGCTCAGAGGTTAAGAGCACTGACTGCTCTTCCAGAGGTCCTGAGTTCAATTCCCAGCAACCACATGGTGGCTCACAACCAATTGTAATGAGATCTGAGGCCCTCTTCTGGCCTGCAGGGATACATGCAGGCAGAACACTGTATACATAATAAATAAATAAATCTTTTTTTTATTATTTATTTATTAACTACAGTGTTCCGCCTGCATATACACATGCAGGCCAGAAGAGGGCGCCATATCTCATTACGGATGGTTGACAGCCACCATGTGGTTGCTGGGAATTGAACTCAGGACCTCTGGAAGAGCAGTCAGTGCTCTTAAACTCTGAGCCATCTCTCCAGTCCCCAAACAGTAATTTCTTAATAAAATCCAACACCTGTTCCCAATTTTCAGGGATTACCTCAAGAATTTCATTTAGGGTTATCTGCTTGAATCGGGAGCCAAGCACAGTATTCATAGAACACGTGACTGATTTGTTCCCCCAAAGTCTTCTAAGCTTTCCTCTTACTCTGATGGGTGCTGGGGACAGAACTCAGGTTACCAGGCTTGGCGACAGCCGTTCCATCACACCAAATCGTTATCATTGTATGCCCGTGCGAGCAGATGGGTCTACTCACCACTTGTCTGTCTTCTTTGCAACATAAAACTCTTTGACCTTTTAAAAATGTAATTTTGTCTTGTTGATGCCTTACAAACTTACCCAAATATTTCTGCTATGAATACTTTTTCTTAGTCCTATAGCTTATATATTTTCTTAACGTGTTATATGAGAGAAAGTCCTTTTTTATATTTTGAGTCTTGTTATGTTGCAACTGCATGTTTCAAACATCTTCCCAAACTCGGCTTCTTAAATACTGAAACCACAGGTGTGTCTCACTGCACCTTAGTTCTTACAAATGTTGAGGAGTTTTAAATCTATAATCTTGTTGATATATATTGTATAATAATTTTTTGCAGCTAACTTCTGTCTCCCAGTATGGAAGAACCTACTGCCCAGTTCTCTGACGAGGAGCTGATGGACAACTTCCTCGCCATGGACGATGGTAACAGGCCTTTTCTAAATCAGACACGATTCAGCACAGAAGATCGTGTGTTTCTTGAGTGCCCCTTATTCCAGGGAAAATGCAGAAAGCACATCTACTAAATCCAACTGTTTCTCAAACAGGGAACTTCTGCTCTTGTCTTAAGTTGACAGTGACTGAGAGTCGGAATGTGGCAATCCACATTTTTGTTTTCCAAATCACCGTTAATAAATTGATGCCATTTTTAATTTTAATCCTTTGAATGTGACCTGTTTTTCCTTTTTCTGGAAGATTTCAGAATTTCTTTTAAGAACTTCTGATGATCCAGACTTTTCTGAGACATCCTGGATTTGATCCCATGGCTCTGTTTTCTGGGTCTGTGAGGATCCTGTCCCTATGACCCTGTCCCTGCCCTTTCTTCCTCTTGGGTGTCTGTGGCCGCTCTCACCTCGTCTTCCCTCTTGCACCCTCCTCGCTGTGGCTGGCTCTGCCCTTTACATTTTCTTTTTCTTTTTTTTAAATTTTTTTTTTAAGATTTATTTATCTATTATGTATACAGTACTCTGCTTGCACGTATGCCTACATGCCAGAAGAGGGCACCAGATCTCACTACAGATGGTTGTGAGCCACCATGTGGTTGCTGGGAATTGAACTCAGGACCTTTGGAAGAGCACCCAGTGCTCTTAACCACTGAGCCATCTCTCAAAACAATAAAAACAAAACAAAAACAAACCCAAACAAAAAAAAGTCGTCCCAGCACTCTGGAGGCAGAGGCAGGGGGATCTTTGTGAGTTCAAGGAGAGCCTGGTCTACAGAGCGAGTTCCAGAACAGGCTTGGTAGCTACGGGGAGGTTGCTAGTCTTGAGCTTGCTACTGTTCTCCTGCCTCGGCTGGAATTTAAAAGACATTTCCATCAAGCCTAGCTCAGTTTTTTACTTTAGTCGTGTTTTGTTTTCATTTGTGTGGGGTTTCAGTATGTATCCTAGATTGGTCTGGAACTCATGACGGGTCTCCTGCTTTGACCTCCCAGGTCGACAGAGATAGTCTTGTCTGGAGCTTGCTGTGAAGACCAGGCTGCTCCCAAACTCAGAGATCCACTGGTCTCTGCCTCTGTATTGGGATTAATTAATTAATTACACTGTCATGCCTGGCCCAAGTTACACTTTTTAAAAATTTATTTTGTGTGCATGTCCTGTAACTCATGCATGTCTAGTGGTTGAGGAGTTTGGATTTTTCTTGTCTTTGTTTTGTTTTGACTGTTTCCTTGATTTCCAGAGCGAATCCAGTTAGAGGCTCCCGAGTTTGAGGTGGAACCTCTTCCTGTGGGATTTGAGGACGCCACTGCCCTAGGATGTAGCTGGTAATTCTCTGAGCTGCAGCCCTTCCTTCTGTTGGACTGCAGCTCCAGTGGGCTGCGTGGGCACTGGGCGAAGAGCACTCTGGGGAGAGCCGAGTGCTATGGTTTGTGTGTGAAGCAAGTGCTATCTTTGTTTTGTTTTGTTTTTCAAGTTTAGCAAAAGAGGAGGAAGGGAACACTGCGAAGATGAAGAAGACAACCATTAAAGACAAAGTGGAGGCATTTCATCTTCGCAAGAGCTTGAACCTCCTAGACAAACTGCATGAGGAAAAGGACCTTTTTATTCAGAAGACTAGGTGAGCTCACTTGCTGAGGATCCTTGGCCTAGCCACTCCTTCTGATTGTACACGTAGGATGTCCTGCCTTTTGTCTCCGTGACAGCTCTGGGCAGGGAGGAGCAGCCTCACAACCCTGAACAGATGTGGTACCCAGGGCCCCACCTTCCTGTCCCCTCCCTCAATCTCGACAAGTTCCAGATAACTAAGGGTGCTCCTCGGTCCTGCCAGGCCCCCCATCATCATCTTGTTTCCGCATGTTTCAGGTGTGACTGAGGCGTTAGTGGAAAGCTTCCTGTTGTTCATGTCCTGATGGTCTTGGTCAGCGTATTCAGCAGAAATACTGAGTGTGTTTTCCAACAGGCAGAAAAGCTGGAGACTGTAGTAGGCTGCTGTCCCCTGCTGCCACCACGAGATCCCAGTGTTTAGCTTTTCCCACTGAGTATGTGTCAACATGTGTCGTAGCTATGATTCTTTAGCTGAATCATTTGAAAGTAAATTTCAGGATCATGATTCTCCTATTTTAGGGTCTCTGAAAAACAGAAACATCTTTCTGCGTGACCTCAGCACATAACACCTCGTGTGGGTGGAGGTTTTACTGGGTTCCGTGCTGCAGCTGTCTGGCATCCTCTGGGTGCCCCTCATTCGGGTTCACACAGGGAGCAGCCTCGGTCTGTGCTGCAGCATGCCAAGGAGGAGCTACAGTCATTTGCAGCTCTGTGCTCCCTGGGGCTCCCTAGGCCTATGGCCTTTGGAGGCGTCTGTACAACACCTACTCCGGTGTAACATGAGGTCCTGCTTGTTGGGGTTTCTGTCCAGCCGGCAAGTCCCAAAGAAAACCACACAGAGGCTATCTCAGTCGGTAGAGCATGGGACCTGCCCCGCTGAACAAAGTACTGAGCCATGTGGCTAACATAGGCTAGAATAATGGGCTAACGTAAGTTATAAGAGCTAATACGAAGCCTGAGCTAATGGGCCAATCAGTTTATAACATATGGAGACCTCTGTATAATTTCTTTGGGTGCTTACTGGTTGTGGGAACTGGGCAGGACAGAAACCCCCACAAGCGGGCCCTCATTTTACACTCATGTGACATGGCAGAGTCAGAGAGACCCACCAGAAAGACAATATATCCCTAGTCCTCAGCCTGGACCTTAGACCTTTCCCTTCTCCACAGAGACTAGAACCTTAGGGAAACATTGCGGGAATTCTTATTTCTACATTGTAGAGGGGAGCTGCGTGTCTGTCGTCAGAGGATGGACCTGCTCAACAAGCAACAGGAGAGCTTGGCGGCTGAGATCTCAGCAGAGAGAGACGCCAACAACATGTACGTCAACCACCAAGTGTTACCACGATGGCCTCTATGTTTCATACGTAGAGGTTCATTCATTCATTCATTTGTTCATTCGCTCATTCGTTCATTCGTTCGTTCGTTCATTCGTTCAGCAAGGGTGAGTGTAAGTACCTGCTATGTTCAGATAGTTAAGAAGCAGACAGCATCTCTCTAGAGTGGCAAACAGTTATTATAACACGAAAGAAGAAATGTCAGTCTAGGAGCTGGCTCGGCTGGTGAAATACTTGCTACACAAGAGAAAGGACCTAAATTTGATCCCCAGCTCCTATAGCTGTGAATACAAACCTATAATCCTAACACTGAAGGATCCAGAGGTCCTGCTGGCTAGACAGACAGCCGGGTCTGAGTTCTGGATTCAGTGACAGAGCCTGTCTCAGAAGAATAAGGCAGAGAATGACTGAGAAAGATAGCTGTTGACATCTGACCACAGGCATACACACGCATGAGCATGCATGAGCATGAGCCTGTACACACACAGAGAAAAGAAATGTCCATATAACGTGCTGAGGTCAGGGAAGAGACGAGGCTGAGTCCACGCAGCTCATGATGCAGAAGTTCTAGCCTTGGTCACAGTGGTGGAAATGGCTTCTCTGTAGAATGTTTCTATCTGTTCGCTTCTTTATTTACTTAGAGTCAGAGGATGGCACACTGAGAGAGCTGTTCTGCTAGGAGGGAAGAGGGACAAAGTGAACTCAGAATAGCTGAACACCAGGCCTTAGTAGTGTTTAGAGAGAATGCTCGCCTTCCTGGGTGCAAGACCTGGTCCAGACAAACAGGAATTTACTAGGAGAAAGTGAGAAGCCAAGAGCAGAGTGTACGGCCAGTGATGAAAGCAGAAACCCTACCCCATGGCCTCCGACCTCCACGAATCTTGGTCCTACTTGCCCAGGGGGAGGTGGGTGTAGGAAGCACTTTACTTGACCCCGCAGGTGTCATCTCTGGTCTTCCACTTCATATATGTCCCCCTGAACACGGGACAGCCAAGGGAAGACACCAGATGTCCTCAGCTCCCTCAGTGAGACCGCCGTGCTGACCTGTCCTCCCGTATTCTGTTGCTCTGTTCCAGGGCTGCTATGAGTCGTCTCCAGGCTGCATCCAGACGCTTGCACACAGAGCTGGAGAATGAAAAAGATCTGCAGTCCAAGATCACGGCCATGCTGAAGGACAGCGAGTAAGTTAGCTTCTGGCCAGTTCACAGCACACAGGTCTCAGAGCAGCTTATGGGACAATTCCTGATTCGAGTAGGAAGAATAATTGGCTTTTCACTTTCTAGATGCTTAGGAAAGAAAAGGCGGCGTGTTACAGCAGCCGAAAGGGAAGCTTTTCATGTTGTCTTCTTCTCAGATTCCTCAGATTTATTTATAATTTTAGTAACTGAGCAATCAGTTTCTTCCCTCCTTTTCTTATTTCCTGTACCTCTTGGGCTGGGACTCAGTCATAGTTCATCTGATTAGTGTGCACAAAAGCCCTAATTTGAGCCTTCACATTGGAGGAAAAAGTATTCTCAACTTTTCTGAAACATCCACAGGAGGGGAAAAGACAGCTTCATGATTTTAAGTATTTTGTTGGTCAGAGTTTAGATTGCAAACTAGAACTGCCTCTAGCAAGTCCAGTTTTTTAAAAAAGTTTCTTTTGGGATATGACAGTTCACTGTTAACACCAGCAAGAGCTCCCAATATAGCACAGCTCAGTGAACCACTGGGCCACTGCCCAGCTCTGGGTCCACGGCACAGCTCAGCTGTCATACGACAGCAAGTGAGGCTGGAAAGCCCTCCAGACTGAAGGCTCACCGAAGACTAGGACAGCATCAGGAACCCAGACGGTCAGCGTAACAGCTGCGGACTTGGCTAAGACCACAGTCAGACCAAGCGTCTTACAGTAACCCTCGAGCCTTAAACCAGTCCTTGACTTACACCTGTTACAACGGTCACAGCTCAAGCCTACACCCTACGCACAGCTGGGACAAATCAGTCCATCCATGTCTGAGAAAGTGAGTACTTATCCTGGTCTTGATTGACACTTGGCTAGCACCGGCACTTTCTCTCTGTGGTTCTGAAACCAGGACAGGCAAGACCCTTGGAGGCCCTGTCAGGACTGAGCTGCTAGATGCATCTGTTTACTTCTTAATGTTTTCTCATGTTAAAACAATGTTAGACTGAGGGACTTCTAGGATCCCAACTCTTAGTCTAGATTTCCTGTAACTTCCATGGAACTCTGATTGAGGAGAAAGACCGGACTCAACTCCATAGTCATGACTTGGTAACAAATAATTTATCTGGGCGGTGGTGGCGCACGCCTTTAATCCCAGCACTAGGGAGGCAGAGGATGGCAGATCTCTGTGAGTTCGAGGCCAGCCTGGTCTACGAGAGCTAGTTCCAGGACAGGAACCAAAAACTACGGAGAAACCCTGTCTCGAAAAAAATCCAAAAGAAAAAAAATAACAAAATAAGAATGGAAGGAAATTTTCTTAATGCAAATTATCACAGTTATTAAAAACCTATAACTATACAGGACGGACTTGGGATATTTGCCTCGCTGTCAGATACACAAAATGTCAGCTTTAGTACTTGCCAGTGTTGTACGGTGAGTGATGCTCCTGCCATCAGTTCTGGTTAGCAGGGTCCTCCGGGCAGAGCAGGCCCCAGGAGATGCTCTTAGGTAGCCACGTTCAGTATTCTGCAACATATCTAGACATGTCAGCTGTAACATATGTCTAGACACATCAGGCACAAGGCTGGAAACCGTCCTTGAGTCGTTGCAGAGGGCACATGGTAGATGCATGGTTTCCCACGTCCTAGGAAAGACTCTTTTGTACTTACCTTCCTAAGGGGAAACCTTAGAGGAGTGTGCTGGCCCCTCATCAGCATCTAACATCTGCCTAGAGTAATTATCAAAATAAAGTACCAGCAGGATCACCCCAGCTCCCGGAGGAGTGGCACCAGGTCTTCAGACCTTAGCTACCATAAAGGACAAATGACTTGTTTTCGCAAGGAATGCCATGTGGCACATTGAGATCCAGAAGGGGCAATTTGAGGATTTCCGGAAGCGTAATGAAGAAGAGGCAGAAGCTAGGCAGAGGAGCCTTGAGATACACGCAGCTCAGCAGCTTCAGAAGGAGAAAGAAACCCTGGAGAGGGTGGAGAGGAACCGTCTGCTGAGGGCCCGGTAAGTGCCACCCAGATCTGGCCCTTGCCAGTTCCTTTGTGTTCTCCACCAAGGCTTTCTAGACCCAGCTCTTTGCACCCGTGCCATGGTCCTTCCCAGGCTCCCTACTTCATGTTAAGTGCCCGCCGTCACCACTGACATGCACCAATGAAACCATCAGCTCCTTCCTTCTGCGCCTTCTACCCCTTCCGAGCTGTGCTGTTCTCTGACCCTGTCACGTATCTGGATGCTCCTTTGCCCACACAAGCCTTGGATGCTCAGTTGCTATCCGTCCTCTGAGGCAGCCCCTATCTCTGCTCAACCACCAATCCCCAGGAGCTAGGGGGCTACTGGACTCTGCTCCCCCAAGATGGCGCAAGTCCCTCTTCTCTCTCTTCTCCTGCCAGACTCCTGCTCAGCCTAGGTCAGACCCTGTTTTTGTGACTTCCTTATACCGAAGCCCCCAGCAGCACTGTGTTTAACATAATATACCTGGGTCCCTTATGTTACACTTATCCTAGTCTCTGCCTGTGTCGCTGCAGGAAGTCCTTGCATGTGCAGAAGGAGCTGGGGCAGAAACATCAGAAACTGGTGGAAGACGCCCAGAGAAACCACAGGATTGCCGTGAAGTTCCTGAAGGCCTCTCTGGGAAGGTGGGTTCTCACTTTAACTCTGTCTTCTGCCAGTGCCCTTAAGGAATTTAGGAGTGTGGGTCCCTGGCCTTCACTTTGAAATTCCCTGATTCAGTCGTTACCTAATCATCAGAAGCAAACAGATCTGTAGTTTTTGTTTTAAGCTGCTGTTTGTATTTGCAAGAGGAGCACAAGCAACCGTGAGGCCCTGGGGTCTGGAGAGCGTCCCAGCCCCCTGTCCTGTAGGAACAGGCCCTGGACAGCAAGGCTCATCAGTCTCACCTTTGTGTTGTCAGCTCTTGTTTCTCTGGTAGTAGTAACCCGCACCTGAGACTCCTATAACTCTGTAATTGCCAACATTACCTGCATGTATCCCTATTAAAATTCACATTACACCAGGCATAGCAGCACACACCTTTAATCCCAGCACTCAGAAGGCAGAGGCAGAGGCAGACTGATGTCTCAGTTTGAGGTCAGTCTGGTCTACATAGTGAGTTCCAGGACAGCCAGGGATACACAGAGAGCCCCATCTCGAAACAAACAAAAACAAATAAATAAAATGCACATTACTCCAGAATTCGAGAGCGAGAGCAGGAGGAGGAGATGGAGTCCCGCAAGCACATGAAACGGCGTATGGATGCTGTGCTGGCGTTGAAGAACAGCATCACTGCCAGTCGGGTAGGTGCAGCTCCACCTGCAGCCTCTCGGGCACATCAACCCCTGACCACCCCCGGGGCCTGCTCGTGGAAGCCAGGATTCTACCTTTGGCTCCTGCCATGAGCCCTGCAGCCTGCCCAGCTGCTCCCTGCAGGGATGTGTGCTGGGTAAGAGATGCATGGGAAAATTATGAAAAATGTTTGCAAATTGCCTACCTTGGGACCTGTAGGTTTCAGCATGGATTTAAATACACGCATATTGACAGAAGTTTCCATCCCACCTGGTCCTGCCCAGTCAGGCAGCCGTTCAGTCCCAAAGAAACACACAGAGGTCTACAGTAATTAAAAACTGATTGGCCTATTAGCTCAGGCTTCTTATTAACTCTTAGAACATATATTAGCCCATAATTCTTGTCTGTGTTAGCCATGTGGCTTGATATCTTTTTCGGCGAGACAGTCACATCTTGCTTGCTCTGTGTCTGGGTGATGAATGCAGAATGAAACTTCTCTTTTCCCAGAATTCTCATTGCTCCACCTCTATTTCCTGCCTGGCTGCTGGCTAGTCAGTGTTTATCTAAAATACAAGTGCCAGGGTACAGACCATTGTCCCACAGAACATGCATTCAAAGAAAAGGCCTGAATGAGTATTGTGTGTGTGTGCATGGCATTTTCTGGTATTGTGACTCTTGAGTTCCCTGTTTCCAGGAAACACTCAAGAAGTTCCAAGCCTGGGGCCAGAGCAGGGCAGAGCTGGCTAAGCAGAAGGCCCTTACGGAGAAGGAGGTGATCCTGGCCCAAGGTGGCGACGCGTTCAAGCACCTTGTTCATCAGCGCAGGCACCAGGAGCTGGAAGCCCAGAAGCGGTGAGAGCTGGGAGACGCTTGCCTGGAAGTGGGCACAGAGAACCAAAGACTTAACCTCCATCCCCCAAAGCGGCAAAACTAATTCCTGCCAACTTCTCACCAAAAGCAGCTATGGGTTATGGGACAAGGACTTCAGCACTCTAGTGGGTGAGGTCGCCTCTTTCCTCACTTCCAATTTCCTGGTTCTTCAGCTATGAGGTTCCTGAGTTCCTGTGGCCCCCTCCTCCTTGGGGGACACCTGGGGCTCACTCACATTACTTAGATAATTTCTACTTAACCCGGCTTCTCAGTGTCTCTGCCGAAAACTGTCCTTTCTGAAGGGCCAAGCTGTTTCTCCCAAGTCCCTGGTCCCTGCTGGTCACTGCACAGGATCTGCTTGGGTCTCTGGCTACAGGATATCTTCCTCTTCAAAGTGTCTCACAGATGTGCAAAACACACGCACACACACGCACACACACACACAAACAGGCACACCATTACAATTGCCACCAGAGTTTTAATGTTCCTGTCAGTCTGCCCACATTTGATGTGGTTTTAGGTTTGTTGCCTGAGTGGTACCTAGCAAGGGATGGCTATAATGAATCTGTGAATGAGTGAGTTGTCGCCAAGCCCTAACGCTGCCCTTGCCTTTTGTCTCTGCTGCGTCTCCTAAATCACAAGCCTAGAAACTAGGGCAGGGAAGCTCACGAAGGCCAGGGTTTGCTGTGGGGACTTCTAGACGAGGCTGAATGAGGCAGTCAAAGCCAGACAGGGCAAGGCAGGGTATGGTAAGATGAGGACCCAAGGCACATCCGCAGCTTAGCAGCCCTGGGAGCCTTATCTGCTGTACTCTCCATCCAAACAGATGTCCTAACACCAGAGTCCTCAAAGGCTCTGCATGAGCTCTTGCAAAGGAACCATAGAGCAAAAAGAAACACCATACCTAACCCTAGCAGCTACTAGGTGTCCCCTTGCAGGTGCTGGGAAGCACCTGGCTTTACCTGAGAAGCACCTGCTCATAGGGCTTTTGAAGAGGAGCAGAAACTCCGGAAGCAGGAGATTGTAAGTCGAATCTTGAAAGAGGAAGCTGAGGAAGAAAACAGGAAAAAGAAACAGCATCCGCCCTCTAAAGCCACAGACGGATGGACTCTGCGGGACAAGACCTGGAAGTACATCTCCGACTTCTGCGAGGGGAAGACAGCGATGCCCGCAAGTCACCTGCTGGTGAGTGGGGCACTGCTGATTTCAAGCTTAGGTCAGCACTTGAACGCACAGGTGGGAAGAAGCTGACTAGGGTCCCCAGGGCAGTGGCCCTCTGATACCCACCAGGGTCCTTTTTCCCTCATGTGAGTCCCTCATCTTAGCCAACGGTGCTCTTAGAGCCCCACAGAGCTGCCTCTCTATGGGGAAAGTTCCTCGTCTGTTCTTGTGTACAAAGTGGAGTCAGTCTCACGTGAGGAGACTCGTATAAGTCGGGGTCCATACAGGTGTTACTGCCCACTACCAGGTATTCCTAGAGTCTCCTCTCAGTCACACCAGAGTCCTGGTCTGAGCCAGTGGTCTGTGTTAGACAACACCCTAGGCTGGCGTACCTCTCCTTCAAGGTGTGAGAGCCTTGGGTGCTCCTTAGCCCAGAACCCTGCTTCCTCTACCAGCTGCTTTCTTGGCCTTGCTGGGCTTTGACCTCTTGGAGCGTTTTCCTGGTGCATTTTAGCACATCACAGGCTTTTTCCTGTTTCTCACTTCTCTGTGTGCCAGTCAGAGCCTCTACCTCTCTGTCACTTCACCTTGGTGCAGTGTCCTCCCCTGGGGCCACATTCTGCTCCTCCTTCCATTTTCCCTCTGAGAGGCCTCCCCGCCACCCTGAGTCACTCACTTTCCTGGAGCTCCTGTACCCCAGCCTTAACCTGCTCTCTAGGGTTTACACTATCCTCTTTCCTCCACGTTCCCCATGGTGTACCCCTACAGGTACAGTCTAGAGCAATCACATGAGTCCTGAACCCCAAGACGGTTCCAGCAAAACCAGTACCACCATCTTTTCTGAGTTTTCAGAGGACTTCCCCAGGGCTGGTGTGCCATCAATCATGAAATTAACACATGATTATCTGTGATGGGACAGTAGAGAAAATTACAACAGGTCCACTACTCAGAGTATCTTCCGTGAACAAGACCTTCCTGTGAACTCTGCTGAACACCATTGGAAGGCATTCAGTCATCCGTAGACATGGGGATGGTGTATTTCAAAGTTACAAGGATTCGTGTCTGTAAAGAACAAAAGAATTCCTTGAATCTCAGCACTGGGGAGGCAGAAGCAAGCAGATATCTGTGAGGTCAAGCCCAGCCTGGTCTACAGAGTGAGTTCCAGGACGGTCAGGATTTCATAGAAAGACTCTCTCTCAAAAAGAAGAAATAACAACAGCAGCAACAACAGGGGGAACCAACAAGCAGCCTCCCACCACACTGGGGGTTGTCAGGCCGAGCGCCCAGCAGGGTTTCCCGGGGACTTGTTCTCTTGCTGCTCACCTATCCCATCTCCATTCTGTAGCGAGCTCATCTCTTCCGCTGGCAGGAAAACGAGATAGCCTTACACCCCAAGCCTACCTGTCTGCTGAAAGCCATATCCAGTGAGTCTATGCAGATGGACCTGGGGAGCATTAGTACCGAGGAGGAGGTCCTGGCTGAACCTGATATCCCCGGGCTTTGGAGCAAAGAGTACAAGACACACCAGGTGAGAGCTTTCCCCTGTCAGGTCCTTCACAGGTTCCTGGATGCAATTGCCCGTCTTCTGCCCCATCCTGTGCCTGCCACTGCTTCCTTCAAACGCGAAGCCTTTCTCCCCTTTCCATAATCTTCAAAAGCACTGGGCTGTAGCCGGCCTTTCCTGGATCTGCCAGCTTTGGCCCTGCACTTTGTTCATTATTAGGCTTTGAACAAGCATGGGCGTCTGTCTTTTTGAACCCAAGGTGTCCAAGAAGGACATGGAACAGAAACCTGTGGGTGGTACCAAGATGGACAAGGACATCCTGGCTCGCACGATGGAGCAGCTGCGCAGTGGGGTGGTCCATAAGCAGGTGGTCTCTGGGAGGGAGTTCAAGGGTCGCCCGTTCAACAGCAAGCCCGAGGTCATTCACTTCAAGGTGAGCCATGATGAAGGGAAAAAGCCTTCCATCTACTCTCCTGCCTCTGACACTTTCCGTTCTGACCTTGGGAAACCCTGCGAAGTCGCCTGCTTTGGGGCTGGTATGCAAGGGCTGTGCTGCCAGCCTAAGGAGCGGGCTCCGGGGCGCACCTTTAAAGGGGCCTGAACTCCTGTGAAGGGGATAACAAGGTAATCCCTTGTTAGGCCCCTTCTGCTTGGCAAATTCCACCTTCTCAAGAGGGACCCGAAGGACGTCAGCACCCACCACCAGCTGGCTAGTGTCAGCATTTACAGAAGGGAGGCTAGGATAAGCAGCCTGCGGTCTGGTCTCTCTCCCTGTCTTTCACACACCTCATGGGGGCATCGCAACACAAGGGAAGCCTGGGGAATCCTCCACCCCACAATCCTGAGCCTCTCATGAGTCAGTAGCAGAGTAGACCCCTTTTCACTGGCCTGTTCTCGGGGCTGTTGGAGGACTTGGGGCCATCCTGTCTCCTCTATCTCTGCAGGACTTTGATATTGGCAAAGTGTACAAGAAGAAGATCACATTGATAAATGCTACTTACACAATCAACTATTGTAAGCTGGTGGGTGTGGAGGAGGGCCTGAAGGACTTCATCCATATCGAGTGAGTCTTGCAGAGTCTAGGCACCAAGCCGTGAGCCGGCTTGCCTTGAAGAGTTGGAGAGGTCACTGCTCTGCGTCTTAATATTGAGGTCACGAAGACCCGTGCAGTCTTTTGGATGGGCTAAGGCACCTCACACTTTTACTGTGTGGGTTTGGACACTGTAGGAGTCCCCGTTGGCAGCCAGCATCTTTCTCACTATGAAGATTCCCAGGCTGCTTTTCTGAACTGTAATTTATTTTCCTCTTTGTGCAAGTGTTTCGTTTTTCCCCTTTCTCACGAGTCCTCTTGTGCCCGTGTTGCCACTTCTTGGCTGGCCTTCCAGTATCATTTTCCGTTGGTCACCTTTAGTGCTGTCCTTTCTCCATTCCCGCCTCACCCTGCTTTTCACCCGGCAATGCTTTCAGCACTTTCTGATTTATTTCTTAGTATCAGACCTTCATCTTTCTTTCGCCCCCTTTTTTCCTTTTTTTTTTTTTTTTTTTTAAATTTTTGAACCAGGGTCTTGCTCTGCACCCTAGGCTAGTCTCTCAGACCTGCAATCCTCCTCCCTCACGACAGGTCTGTTCACAGCTCAGATCACCTGCATCTCTTAGTGTGTGATATGCAATTTCCGAAATGGGGGCTTAGTGTAAATTGTTCCCTGACTCCTCTGCTCAGGTTCTCGGGTCTCTTTCTTTCCCATGAACAGCACTGGCTGGCAGAGCTCTGATCAGGGCTTCCCACCTAAGAGGTGCTCTCCTCCTGGGAACTGAGTGAGAGGGGACAGTGGGGTCTTCTGGTCCTCTACTCCTTTCTGGCAGTTTACCGACTGTGTTAATTTGAGATCTGGGAGCTTCTCTGTCTTTTAGCAATGCTGAGTCACTTGTCCCGTGGGCTGTAAGGTTTCTGGAGAGCGTATGGAGGATCCCAGGCTAGGTGATGGTCACCATGACCTCAGCTACCACAAAGCCCTCCTTTCTAGGCCTAGATTAAAATTTCTCTCCGCATTCGAAGGCTGGCGTCCATTTTGCTGTTGTGGCTGTGACTCGGTTTCTTCTGGCTGCACTGAGCTCCTGGCCCTGTGTCCCGCAGCTCCACTGCAGCACAGCTGGGGTGCTTGGTCTGTCTTCTTTACACGGATTGTACTCTTGGAGCTCACGTTCATCTCTTTGAGCAGTTCTAAAAATAGCTCATCCCTACCCTGCGAATATCAGCTCTCCCTATTCAGCTCCCTGCAGCTTTGTCTCTGCCCTGCTCCTCCCATGTGGAGCCTCCCTCTCCAGTCTCTCTGTCCTTATGACACCCGCCTCACACACTCGGTCCGTTCAGGAAGTGTGTGAGGCGGCCCAGCTTCTGGTCCCTTCAGCTGTGCCTCGCTAGCTGCAGAACCTGCTGACTGTGTGTCTTGCTTCAGCACTATGTTTCTCATTTCTAAAAATTCCTAGTTCCTTTTCAGATGAGCCGATGTTTCTCCCCCCGCCTCTGTCTCTCTCTCTCTCTCTCTCTCTCTCTCTCTCTCTCTCTCTCTCTCTGTGTGTCTCTCTCTCTCACTCTGTCTCTCTCTGTCTTTTTCCCTCTCTCTCACCCTCCCCATCACCAAGAGAAATTTTTATATTAAGTTTTTGTGTATTTCCAAACCAAGAAAATTATGTGAAATTCAACATTGTAAACATAGGCCCGATGCTAGGAGGACCCTCCCCTCAGCCAGGACTCAGAGTAAGACAGACTAGCTCCCATCTTGTTCCCCTGCAGTTGGGGCCAGTTTTACTGGATAACCTTCCCTTCATGCTGGGATCGTCCCAGGGTAGCGACAGCCCGCAGCCCCCATCCTTTTGTAGCTGGCTTTGGGGTGTGCTGGCTCACTCACTGGACAAACATTTGAAGATTACCCAAGTGTCTTCTGTTTATCAGGAAACAGAGTCAGTAAGGAACACAGCAGACCTGGAGCTGCTCGTGTGCCGACACGTCTAGACAGAGTTCGTGTGCCGACACGTCTAGACAGAGGTGCTGTCTTAGGGCAACGACTGCTAGTGTAAACACCACCACCAAAAGCAGTGGGGAGGACAAGGTTTCCACATCATAGTCTGTCACCGAAGGAAGTCAGGACAGGAACTCACACATGACAGGAACCTGAAGGCAGGCACTGAGGCCATGGAGGATTCCACCTACGGGCACCTCCCATATCATCACTAATCAAAATGATGCCGAGAGCCAGATTTCATAGAGGCATTTTCTCTACTGAGGCTCCTGTCTCTCAAATGATTCTATCCTTTGTCAAGTGGACATAAAAACCAGCAGCACAGCTGTGGAACAGATAGAAGGGAATCCAAAAGGCCCAGCTGAATATGTAACAAGTATCCACTTTCCACAGTGACTTAACTACCCTGTGTGTGCTGTTCCTACAGCTTTGACCCCCCTGGTCCCATGTCAGCCGGGATGTCCTGTGAAGTTCTGGTCACCTTCAAGCCTATGGTACGTGAGAAGATCACACAGGGTGCTGCTTTTTCTGGCTCACAACAACGGCAACAACAAAATCAGCCTCCTTCTGCAATGCTAGCACAATAGGGCTTGCCAGAAGGTTTGGTCTTCACTCTTATGTGAGTAACTCTCTGTAAGCTATGAAGTGTGTCTCTTCAGGACCTGCGTATGTAGTGGGCTTTGGGGTTCTTTTCCCTGGGAGCCCACTGAGATGGTGGTAGGCAGGTCCAGCCCATAGTTACACCTCTGCAGCTTGCATCCATGCCGTAGTCATACCCCTGCGGCCTGCGTCCAGCCCATACTTACACAGCTGCGGTCTGCATCCAGGCCATGGTTACACCGCTGCAGCCTGCATAACTGTGTCATTGTCGAAATTCATGGTGACTTGGATTGTTTTGTTTTTTAGATAAATAAAGATCTGGAAGGAAATGTTTCATTTTTGGCTCAGACAGGCAGCTTTTCTGTTCCACTGAAATGTTCAACGAAGAAATGTTCTGTAAGTTTAAGTTCCCAGAATCCCTCCCCATGATAAGTGCTGCACCCTAGGAGTGCCCAGGGCATGGAGTACCCAGGGCATGGGGATAGAGCACCATCAGAGGCCTCGGTCCAGTGTCTGCTCTAGTCAGACTTCACCCCGGGGCCTAGGCTGGCTGACATGAGATATTCTGAAAAAGCGAGTCATCAGACCAGAGCTAGAAATTTCTAGATAAGCCCTGCTCCTTATGGGGTCCCTGACTGAGAAGCCCAGAGTTCAGAGGGGAGGAAAGCCATCTGAGACTCTAGTCCTTTCTTCAGCTCTTGTGTGTGTCCCTCAATATATATAATATATTCAAGATCGGGTCTCATTATATAGCTCTGGCTGGCCCTGAACTCACTCTGTAGACCACGTTAGCCTCGAACTCAGAGAAATCAAACCTACCTCTCCCTCCTGAGTGCTGGGATTAAAGATACGCACCATTACACCCAGCTTTCAGATGTTTTTTAAAAGATTGATTTATTTTATGCACAAGTGCTCCTCTGCATGTACAACGTTATGCCAGAAGAGGGCATCAGATCCCACTAGGATGGTTGCTAGGAATAGAGCTCAGACCTCGGAAGAGCGGCCAGTGCTCTTAAGGGCTGACCCATCTCTCCAGCCCCAGATGTTTTTATTGCATAAAGAAAACCATAGTCATGCAGTGAGCTCCCCTGCGCCCACTGTCCACATCTGATCGTCTTCAGCGTCTGCCACATTGGCTTCATCTAGATGGCATCCTTTGCTGTGGGGCCACTTCAGAGTCAATTACCGTCATCAGACTCAGCACCCTCAAAAACTGTCGGCATTTCTAGAAAACATTGGCTGTTTCCACAATGACACCCACAACACACATACTCAGTACTCAGGATAGACTGTAGTGTGTCTTTAGTGTTACATCTGCTTGTGAGCCCGCAGGTTCACTGTGAGGTGACTGGCGTGGGCTGAGCCGGGTCAGGCTGAGCCGAGTCAGGCTGACTGGGTCAGGTGGCTCTGCCGCGGTTACCTCACCATGGCCTTCTGGCCTCTGGAGCGGTGTCAACCTCGCATGAACTCCTCATGAAAAGTGACTGAAAATGTAGACATCACAGCCAGCAGCTCCAGCATGTTCAGAATGCGTGGGGCAGAGAGAGACCTCTGCAATGAGGGAACACAGAGAGAGCAGAGAATTGAGATAATTGTCTGTGTGCAGAATTCCCGATGACCAGCTACTGCTCAGTCACATCGCATGTGTCCCACTGTCTCCAAACTACCTTGTCAATGGCTGTTATGTTTATGTCATTGAGATTACACTTGATTATTACATTGGTGAGCATGTTTTGGCCTAGGATAGCAGCCCCCTTTCCTCTTTTGGGTCATAAAACTTACTAAGCCAATTCTTTTATAGGACATCCTGGATTTGTACAACTGCTTCCTATTGTTGCATTTACTATGTCCCTCTGTCCCTGCGTTCTTTTAAATTAGATGTAGGTTAGGGAACGATTGTCTTTTTGAAACAAGAAGGACTTTCTCTGGCTCCAGTCTGGGGATCTGGTCCCTCATGACGGGGGCCATCATGGCTGCAAGAGACTGAGACCGCTGGTCACATTGTATCCTTGGTCAGGAAGCAGAGACTGAGACAGTTGGTCACATTGTATCCTTGGTCAGGAAGCAGAGAGTGATGAGACTAGCTAAAAGTCCCTTTGTCCTTTGCTAAGAAATAGCTTTGCTTAAGAGAACTGTTGCTCCTGCAGAGGACCTAGGTTCAGTTCCTAGCACCCACATGGCAGCTCACAGTCATCAGTGACTCCAATTTCCAGGAGTCACTGGAAATTGTACCTTCTTCTGACCTCCTCGGGCATGCATATGGTACCCATACCGACAGACGGGCCCAACACTCAAGCACTTAAAATGAACTAATTAAAAAAAAAGTAGTTATAAAAAGCAGCTTTTATTGTGTTTGTTTTTTGATACTTTCATGCATGTATAAAATATGTTGATTGCTGGGTGGTGGTGGCGCTCGCCTTTAATCCCAGCACTCAGGAGGCAGAGGCAGATCTCAGTGAGTTCGAGGCCAGCCTGGTCTAGAGCAAGTTCCAGGACAGGCTCCAAAAGCTACAGAGAAACCCTGCTTCAAAAAAACAAAAACAAAAAAAAAAGTACATTATGATTATTATAACTCCCTACCCTCTCTACTTTCCCTCCTGTCTTAAATACTTTTACCTCCCTACAAGTTGGGACCCATGTTTAGGACGCTGGTGCCGTGTGCCTCGTGTGGCTATGCTCACTCATGTTTAGGATGCTGGTGCTGTGTGCCGCGTGTGTCTCACGCTCACTCATGTTTAGGATGCTGGTGCTGTGTGCCGCGTGTGTCTCACGCTCACTCATATTTAGGATGCTGGTGCCGTGTGCCTCGTGTGTCTCACGCTCACTCATGTTTAAGATGCTGGTGCTGTGTGCCGCGTGTGTCTCACGCTCACTCATGTTTAGGATGCTGGTGCTGTGTGCCGCGTGTGTTTCACACTCATGTTTAGGATGCTGGTGCCGCAGTAGTAAGAACTCTATCTCAGCAGGGGACAATGGCAGCTCTATGCTAGTCATCTGTGGCAGGCATAGGTTCCTCTCTGGCTTGAATCTAGAGGACTCTGTTTTAGTAGCCCCTTGTCGCCTCTGGAGAAAGGCATTGCAGATTGACCCCTGGGTTTAGATTCGGTGAGATGACCATTTGTGGCACCATAGTGATGCCCAGGCACGACACTCTTAGCTTGAGCACAGGGAGTCTGTGGCTTATAGCCCAGCTGGGCATGAGCAGCACAATCCCACTCTGAAGAGCAGCACTTCCAGGCCCCGTGTGTGCAGGACGGCTTACCTCAGCCAGCTCGTCCACCACGGTCCCCTCTATCAGTCATTATCTTCACTCAGGGAAGAATTGGTTTGACCTCTTAAAGCCAGACACAGGAGCCCCAAGCTGTCCCACTCACCACATGAATCTGTGACTTTTCTAAAAAATTATTTGTTTTTATAAAATTGGTGATCTTCCTGCATGTCTGTCTGTGTGAGGGTGTCAGATCCCCTGGAACTAGAGTTACAGACAGTTGTGAGCTGCCATGTGGGTGCTGGAAATTGAACCTGGGTCCTCTGGAAGAGCAACCAGTGCTCCTAACCTCTGAGCCATCTCTCCAGCCCCGAGCTGTGACTTCTTAAGTAGGCTATGTCCCTGATGTGCAGTGCACAAATGCTCGTGCTACCCCTGCCTGCCCTGCCTGGAGTCAAATGCAAGCCTCCCTGTGAAGAAAAGTCAGGTTTCCCCAGGCTTCTTGGTACTGCCTCTGATATTTGGGGAGGAAACCTTCTCTTGTGGGATATTGGGTCCTCTGGGCCATGATTTCCTGCAAGGACCTACTCCCTTTATGAGCATGCAACCAGCCTAGAGGCCACCATGACTTACACTTATGTTCTTTGGCAGCTGTCCCTTGACAAGGAGCTCATTGAGTTTGGCAGCTATGTGGTGGGTGAGACCACGTCCCGGACCATCACACTGACCAATGTTGGGGGCCTGGGCACCAGATTCAAGTTTCTCCTGGATTCTGAGTTCTTTGAGATGGAAGAACCCCAACCCATCATGAAAATAGTGAGCATTTGTGGCTACCATGGGTGTCTGCAGTTCTGCTCAGTCACGGATGGGGTGGGGAACCTCCCAGTCATGTGTATACAAAGATGTGAGCCAATGAGAGTCAGCAAATCAGGGGGAAGAGGAAAATGTCAGGACGGTCTTCATCAGTGAGAGCAAAAATGTCTGGCTTCAGTGAGGACACATGCAGTCTGGTCTCAGGTGGCAGCAGGATGGGGTTCCCTTAAGGCACGTGGTACACAGAGAGCAGGAGCATTGGGAGACCCTGAAAAGGCTCCTTGGGAAACCGTGGGTCTCTTTCCAGAGTATGAAAAGGGCCTTTGTCTTTCCCAAGATTATGCACGGGCCACAGTGAATGGCAGCAGTCTCAGGGGTCCAGCTCAAGAACCACCACGCTCATGGATGGTGGGGTCCTTTGGGGAAGGCGATCTAAAGATGTGCCTCTTATATGCTTCTAAAACACTTGAGCATCCTTAGGAGAAGCATCCTATTGGCTCTGTTGAGGTGCCCCAACAAAGACCCCAGAAAGCATCTCACCCAGGAGGTGGCAGGACCAATGTGCAGCGATGGCCAAGGCAGTATGGAGAGCAAGCTGCTGTGAGGGGAAGGTGGGGCAGTGGAATGGGGGGCTGGAAACCAGGCTTGCTTTGGGCAGGTAAATGGGATGCCCAGCGGGGCATCTATAAATTCTGCCTCTAAACAGCTGTGGAGAAAGGAGAGTTAGAGGCTAGAGTAGAACCAGCCTCTGGGCGAGTGACCAAGCAGAGTGTAAAGAGGGTAGACTCAGCTCTTCATGGTGGGGTCTACAATGGGACATCCAAGCTGATGACAGAGAGGATCCATCCTGGCCAAGACAAAATAGACAATCATCCCTGCCCTAGGCAAACTGAAGCTGTGGTCTAAAGACCCAGAGTAGACAGATGAGAGCAGAGACGGGAGAAGGGGTGGCAGCAGCCCTGGGCACAGGTACATTTGTGTCTCCTCCTGGACTCACCTGGTGACAAGGGTGTCTGTGAAGCTGAATGAGAAATGAAGACTCTGAATTTGCTTTCAGAGCAGCCTCTACACCTGTGAGGACAAAAGTCTCTATGAGAAGATCATTACCAGTCTCTCTGAGCAACAGCTTGATATCAATGAGTCCTCCCCAGTGGACATCCCGAGCCGAAAAGAATCCGAGAAAGATGGTAAGGGTTGGGGAGACTTGGGAGTGGGTAGCAGGTACCTACTTCAAACTTCCTGCATTAATTCCTGAACCAGCCAGGACATGTGGGCCCAGCTGAGTGCTGAGTAGGCCTCAGAGAGGACTGGCATGGACACAGGGGCCTCCCACAGGTGGCCATCCAAGAGTCACTCTCAGCACAGCCACCTTAGAACCCCAGGTCAACACAGAGGTCAGAGTCAGCATCTCAGAGAGGGTCAAAGGTGCAGAGTTTTCTCAGGGCTTCAGTTATAAGTGATAATAAATGCAGAAAATCCCCATGGATGCAAACATGCACTGGATATGGGGTTCACTGAAACTCTGTTTGTGTTGAAACTAACAGAATCGACAGAAGCCCCAGATGGGGACAGTCACATTGTGTACAGGGGTGGGGGCTTTGAAAGCTCTGCCTGTGAAGTGGTCCCTGCAGGTGCTGGTCTTTATCAGCCCCACCAGGCTCTGAGGCTGAGGAGGGCATTTGCTTCACACCAGCTGTGGAGAACTACAGATGACACACAAAGACAGTTTTGGGTTTTATTATTGTTGTTGTTTTGTTTTGTTTTGGGGTTTTTGGTTTTTTGAGACAGGGTTTCTCTGTAGCTTTGGAGTCTGTCCTGGAACTAGCTCTGTAGACCAGGATGGACTCAAACTCACAGAGATCTGCCTGCCTCTGCTTCTGAGTGCTGGGATTAAAGGTGTGTGCCACCACCGCCTGGCACACAAAGACAGTTTTAAAAACTGAACAATCAGGACTGGAGAGATGACTCAGTGGTTAAGAGCACTGACTGCTCTTCCAGAGGACCTGGGTTCGATTCCCAGCAACCACATGACAGTCACAACTGTCTGTAACTCCTGTTCTAGGGGATGTGACACCTTCACACAGACATATGTCCAGGCAAAACACCAATGTACATAAAATACAAGAAAAAAACAACACCGAGGCATTGGCCCTATTGTGATGCAGACGCTCTCCACCCCGGGACGCCGCCTTCAGCTGCTTTCACCCCTTCCCTGTCTTCTTCTTCTTCTTCTTCTTCTTCTTCTTCTTCTTCTTCTTCTTCTTCTTCCTTCCTTCCTTCCTTCCTTCCTTCCTTCCTTCCTTCTTTCTTTCTTTCTTTTTTGCTTGTGTGTTTGCTTGTTTTGTTTTGTTTTTTCAAAACAGGGTTTCTTTGTATAGCCTTGACTTTCCTGGAATTCATACTGTAGACCAGGCTAGCCTCGACCTCAAAACAACCAAAGGAATATATGTTTGGATGGATGGATTACTTGTGCCAATAATCTATTGACCTTCTGAGGGGAATGTTTTTAGGCTCTCTTTTTTAACCAGTTGATTGATTTATCCTATCTAATATACTTCATTAGTTGTCATGAATTTAGATTAAGTCTTGAAGTCATGAAGTACGTGTTACCCGACTTTTTTCAAAGTAATTGCTTGCATTCTTGCATTATATTGGTTCCTTGCATTTCTGGATACATTTTAAAATTAATTTATTGGTTTTTATGCATGTGTATGCACATATACACTCAAAGCCAGACATGTTGGTATATTGATACATATCTATAATTCCAACACCTAGAAGGCAAAAGAATCCAGAATTCAAGGTCACTGAGTTCAAGGCCAATCTGAGCTAGGCCAGGCCTGTCTTAATAAAAAGAAAAACAGTAGGGAGGTGGTAGCATAGACCATTAATCTCAGCACTTGAGAAGCAGAGGCAGGTGGATCTCTGTGAGTTCAAGGCCAGCCTGGTCTACAGAGTGAGTTCTAAGACAGGCACCCTAGCTACTGAAAAACCCTATCTCGGGGGAAGAAAGAAAGAAAGAAAAAAGGAAAGAAGAAGGAAAGGAAGAAAGAGAGAGAGAGAGAGAGAGAGAGAGAGAGAGAGAGAGAGAAGCAAAACAAGGGGGAGAAGCCCTTCATGAATGTGATTGGTATAACTTTGAATATGTCGTATTGAGTCTCAACCCACAAGGATGAGGACCCAATGAGCTGAGTCATCTTTATTTTTCCTTAGCAGCAGCTCAGAGTTTGCACTAAGTATGTCTTATATATTTTTAGTTGATTCAATCTGAAAATCTTAGACTTTTCCCCAGACTGATTATTGATATAATCTTATTTGTCTTCCAGAAACAGAGATTGTACCTGCGGCCAGTGTCATAACCATGGCTCCCAGTGAGGAACAGGCAGAGATAACCTTGGGGGAGGTCAGTCAGCCTGCCCTGTTAACTTTGGCTTCTTCTAGCCAGGAGGAAGCTCATCCTCCTCCAATTCTAACCAGTGTTCTGGGGGGCTTCTCTTCTGTCCAGAGCCAGACTAAACCACAATTTCCAGGCACTAGTATCGAGGTATCACCTCCCCATGTTGAGAGTAGGTAGGACCAGAGTAGCAGGGACAATTTCCTCTGTGTCTACAGCTTAGAGAAAACAATGATCCTCCCTAGTTGGAATGTGGTGTGTGTTCACACAAACAGAGGAGGAAGATGCAGAGAGAGATCAGGTTGCCTTTCTTGCCCCAGTTCAAGTGAACTGTGAGCCTTAGACAGGGATAGGATCTTTGAAACTCCAGGGCTTGGAGGTGGAGTAGGGTAGTAGAGAATTGTGTATCCTATACACAAGCTGGAAAGCCCTCCTACCAACCTCTTCCTGTTTTTAATGCTGTTGAAAAGGACCTGACCTCTGCGGCAGACTGAGGGTCTGTGGAGAGCACACAGTGGCTCACTGTTTGAGTGAACCCCGCAACTCCCACTCTTGGGATTCCATAGCAGTAAGCACTCAAGAGCGAGGCCAGTCTTAGAGCTAATACCTGTATGTGACCAAATGGACACCCCAAGGACATGGCCCTGTTACCGCCCATCCTTGCAGCAGTGGCAAGAGTAAGGGTTAGTGGGAAATTCCCTAAGAAAAACCATGATGTCCATGTTCTGACCCCATGGTACTCTTCCTACACAGGTGACAGAGGGAGAAATCGGCCCCTTCAGTTCCGTCAAAATACCCATTATCTTCACCCCAGTTATCCCAGGAGAGGTCCAGACTAAGTTCAAGGTTATGTTTAAGAATTCGCAGTGTCCCACGGTGAGTTTCCCTGCGGCCATTTGCTGTGACTGATCTCCACAGCCACGCCAGTCGCCCTTGATGCTCATTGGTGGGCAGCAAAAGGCTGGCACCTCAGCTAAGAAACACGCATGCGCGTGAGTCTTCAGCCACTCACTTGGACAAAGTGCTCCCCACCACCGCACCTTCTGCCTTTTTTATGGTGTTGGAGATAAAACTTAGAACCTTGAGCAAACGGTCTACCAGAGAGCCTCCACTTCAAGCTCTAGTCCATATTCTTTTTTGTAAATTCTGCATGTGTTTGGTGTACATGCCTGTGTATAAGCATTCATGTGTGTGGACATACATATGTGTATAAATGTGCATGTATGTTTGTGGATAGAGGCCAGAGGTTGACACTGGGCATCTCCCATGATCACTGTATACTTCATGTATTGAGACAAGGTCTCTCACTTGAACCAGAGCGCATTGGTTTTAGTTAGCCTAGCTAATCGGTTTGCTCTTCTTGCCTTCTCCTGAATCCTAGCATTACAGGAGGGCCATTGTGCCCACTGGGCTTTTTTCCCCTCCAAGACAGGGTTTCTCTGTGTATCCTTAGCTGTCCTGGAACCTACTTTTTAGACCAGGCTGGCCCACTGGAACCCAAATTCTGGTCCTGATGCTTGCACATCAAGTACTTTTTCTTGTTAAACTGTCCCACCAGCTCCCCTAACCCCCACTCTTAGTTATTAGGAATATCTTTCTTAGTTTAAATATTCGCAGTTTTATTCATTTATGACCAGAGAATATGATCACTGGGTGTGAATTCCCAGGATAGGTGAAGAAGCATCTCAGAGGCTGAAGACATACGTGGCCTGGTGGTTAAAAACACTGGCTGTTCTTGCAGAGGACCCAGGCTTGATGCCCAGCACCCACATGGTGGTTCACAACTCTTTGTAACTGCAGTTCCAGGGGATCTGACACCCTCTTCTGGCCTCCATAGGCAATGCTGCACGTGGTATACAAACATATATGCATATATGCATGCAGGCAAAAACTCATGCACATAAAATAATAATCAATAATTAAGCTGGCCGTGGTAGCACATGAAGACAGAGGCCGGTGGATCTCTGAGTTTGAGGCCTGCCTGATCTTATAGAGTGAGTTCCAGGACAGCCAAGAAGCCCTGTCTTTTTTAAAAATATTAATTTATTATATATTCAGTATTCTGTCTGTATGCGTGCTTACACACCAAAAGAGGGCATCAGATCTTATTATAGATAGTATATACCACCATGTGAGTGCTGGGAATTCAACTCAGGACCTCTGGAAGAACAGGCAGTGCTTTTTTTTTTTTCTAACATTTTTTTATTTGATTGACATACCAACCAGAGTTTTCCCTCCCTCTTCTCCTCCCATTCCCTCCCCCTCCCATCTACCCTTTCTCCATCCAGGCCTCCTCTGACTCCATTCAGAAAGAGACAGGCCTCCATGGTACGTCAAGTTGAGGCAGGACCAAGCTCCCCCCCCCTCCCCCCCCGGCATAAACCTGGATGACATAACCTAGCCTGGGGAGCAGGTTTGGCAGTGCACTTAACCTCTGAGCCATCTCTCCACACCCAGAGAAAACCAAAAAAAGAAAAAAAAGTCAATGATTAAAACAAACAAGGGGGCTGGAGAAATAGCTCAGTGACTAAGAGCTCTGGCTCGCTTTCCAGAGGACCTGGGTTCAGTTCCCAGCACCCACATGGTACCTCACAGATGTCTGTAACTCCAGCACCCACATGGCACCTCACAGATGTCTGTAACTCCAGCACCACACGGCACCTCACAGATGTCTGCAACTCCAGCACCCACACGACACCTCACAGATGTCTGTAACTCCAGCACCCACATGGTACCTCACAGATGTCTGTAACTCCTGCACGGTACCTCACAGATGTCTGCAACTCCAGCACCCACACGACACCTCACAGATGTCTGTAACTCCAGCACCCACATGGCACCTCACAGATGTCTGTAACTCCAGCACCACACGGCACCTCACAGATGTCTGCAACTCCAGCACCCACACGACACCTCACAGATGTCTGTAACTCCAGCACCCACATGGTACCTCACAGATGTCTGTAACTCCTGCACCCACATAGCACCTCACAGATGTCTGTAACTCCAGTTCAAAGGTATCCATACCTTCACACAGGCACACATGTAAGACACCAACGCACATAAAATAAAAATTATTAAAACAAGCAAGCAAACAAAAAGAACCTTGCTCCTCTGAAGTGGAACAGCAGGACAGTTGAAAGGATGATGTGGACAGTCCAGCTTGCCAAAGCTAGCTGCTTTGAGTGAACCTGCCCCTAAGCCAGAAGAGATGCTAACAGTATCAGTGAACCTAAGCCAGAAGAAATGCTAACAGTACCAATGTCAATCCCACATCAGTTTGATATATGATTGTCTGTGTTCTTACTCAACTGCTGGCCAGCATCTTCTGTCCAAATAAGGACAGTTGTGTCAGAGCGTCAGGCCAAAAAACCAGTAATATGTCTTATATTTATATTTAATATATATTAATAATAAATATATATTATATTTAATATATAATATATTAAAATATTAAAAGTATTACATTTCCTTTGTGATCAGAGGCAAAGTTTATCTTGAAATAATGAGTAGCTTCGAGAAAGGTATCTTTGCTTTGAAACTGTAGCAGATTTAGTAACAGGGTTGCTTCTTCCTGTTCCTTCCCTGACATCTATCCTCCTTTCTGGTTATGTTTTGCATTTCTGGACTCTAGGCGCTGTAGAGCGGCTTTGCTGGTGGGTCCATGAGGGACTGCATGCTTCTCCAGTCTGAGTTGTGCCTTTCGCCAAATCAAATTCCATCATCCCTCCTTTTGTAGCCATTTTGTTCTCGCTCCCTCTTTGGCTTTTCGTTTGTTTGTTTGTTTGTAGGGGGGGGGGATTGTTGGTTTTGTGTTTTGAGGAAAGGGTCTCCCACACGTGGAGTCCAAGCTGACCTTGACCTGGAGCTCTCCGAACCTTTTCTTTCGGGTTGGTCAGTTATAGTCAAATCCCACAGTGCTTCATTCTCCTCAGGAGCCAGGCTTTGTTGTTTACCCACAAAGCCAAAGAAGGGTTGCATTTGGAATTATCCCTTCCATCATAGGACTAAACAGAGAAACCCTGTCTCAGAAAAAGAAAGAAAAGGAATTCCACAAGAGATAATTGTAATTTCAGTTTTGAATGAGTGAGCTTGTTAAATATGTAGTAAGCAGAACTAAAAGAATAAAACAGCTGGGTGCGGTGGTGGCGCACGCCTTTAATCCCAGCATTTGGGAGGCAGAGGCAGGCGGATCTCTGCAAGCTCAAGGCCAGCCTGGACTACAAAGCAAGCTCCAGGACAACCAGAATTGTTACACAGAGAAACCCTGCCCCCCAAAAAAGAAAGAAAGACTAAAAGAGCAAGCAACAGAAAGATAGCAGAGCATCATAGCAGACACTTAGACTGTCCAGCAGAAACCAACAGGAAAGCAATGGGAACCGACACCACTGTCTGAGGTCACTGATGAGCAAAGATGGCCCCAGACAGAGTCTCTTCTCCTGGATGAGACTCTGATAGTCATTTCCCACCACAGACATTTCCGTTCCACGGGGAAGCTGATCAGTGATTTGCCTCCCAGATATTTTAGTGCCAGTCTAGCTATGGATCAATCTGCTGTTTACTTTAGCTTACGATACACTTAACAAACCCATTCAAAACCAGAAGCATGACTATTGTAGATCATTCTCTGTATCCTACTGAATAGGATAATTACATGAAAAACATCACAAGATTCTTCAACACATGTCATGATTGATTATTAGCCTCATATTGTAATACAGAAAGTTTAAAAAAAAAAAACAGCGAACCACGAAACCCTGTGCTAAGTATTGTGTTAGCACTCGCTGGTGTCTCCAACACCACAAACTGAACATGTGCTGAGCTTACGTGTTCCACGTCAGTTATATTTCAGGGCCACGGGTATTGCTGTCGATGTGCCAGTCTGGGTGCCGAGGGCCACTGTGGACCTGAAAATCTGTATGTACGATCGACTCTACCAGGACTCCATCATTGTCCACACAAGGTTAGCCCTCTGGTGCAGGAGTATCGTTCCTGGAGCCAGTGCACACTGGCTCTGAATGGCCAGTCTCCTTGGGTGGCAGAGGACTGGGCAGTTGATTAGGCTCTGGACCTTGAAGAAAGTGATCCTGAATAACCAGGAGATCCCAGTGTTGTGGAGGCATTGAGAGGAACCCAGGAGTGTCAAGGACAGAGACCGAGCTGAAGACAGAGGAAGGGACCACGGGTATGGAATGCCCGACACCCAAAAGGGCAAAACATGGAACCAGCCCTACCTACATCTTGACCTTCAGTCTAGTTAGTACCACTTTGGCCTTATGTCCCCCAAGATGCTCAGAGAATTACGCTACATTGTAGTAGACCTGAGTTTGTGGAAAGTATTTCAGTAGCCATAGCAGAGACACACTTGCTGTATGCCTGGGGTACTAGGCAAGGGTCTAAGTTCCTTCAAGAATATCAAACATAGCAGCAACTTGGAGACTAGACAAAGTCCAACAAAAGAAGTGTGTTTATTTGTATTGTTTTACAAAGATATCAGACTTTAGATTAAAAGTATTTTCCCTGAAGCACAACCTGAGATAGGAGCATCCCAGGTTTCATGACTTCACCAGCTTTGAACCACTAGTCCCCAGACCAAAGGGCAGGTCCTGACCGTTTCAAACCCCTGTCACTACCCCTTCACACATAACTGGAAGATCAGTGCTCCCGTGACACGGTCTCCACTAGACTCTGTCTGGCTTCATGAAGGTGCTCCCCTCCCTGGGAACCAGACAGCTATCAGATGGCAGTGAACTGCCAGAGTCGGGGGAAACCTGTTTACTGAAGGAGTGTGGGGCTTGGAAGAAGGGTTGGCTGTGCTTGTTTGGGAGAACGGGTTGAACAGAGTTTGCATAGGTATTAAGTGCCTCCCGGTCATGTAGGGAAAGAATCAAAAGAAGTCAAGGAATCTTATCATTCTTACCCAAAGCACCCAGCTGTCAGTATAAATGTGTCTAGTAATGGTTTTGCCTACATGCGTGTAGAAAGGTATTGACTTATGAAGACCGTTTGTTGTGTGTGCCCAAGAACCAGTGTTGGTCACGGTGTACAAACAGTGGAACTGACTAGGACATCCCTGAGAAGCCCAAGTGGCTGCCTGCTTTCCATTTTGTCCTGGGTCCCTAGCAGAAGGAACTCAGGGCGCTGGTCACTGTAGTGGTGGACGCACACTGTGGGGGCTTAGAGGAGGTCAGAGGTCACCACAACTCTGGTGAGCATCCAAAACGTGAGAGAAAGGGAGAGGCTTTTCCCTCTGTGTCCACTTGGTCCTCCCTTATGGATACTCCCAGTGGTATCTGTGACGTATGGGCTCTCCCTGAAGACCTGGCTGCTTCCTCCAGTGTTGATGGTATGACTTTATAGTTCCATCTCTGGATCACTGCAGACTCAGCTCTCAGGGCCATATTTGAGCAGAGGTATATGGGCTGACCACGGGCTGCAGAGCATAGACAGCCACAGAATAGACAAGGATCATTCTAGAAGATACTAGAAGGCTCTATTGCCAGTGATCCCCAGGCAAACCGGGGAAGAGTTCCCAGGTCTTCCCTCTCCAGGCTACTGTTCCTTCCTTGGTTAAGAAATAATTCTTCCTATGGGAACAAAAGGCAACTCCCACGGGGAGCAAGGCAGGGCTGTCCTCCAGAGATGCCTTAGATGGGGGTTTGGCTGCTGCCTTTGACAGATAACCTCATTTCGGGCAAGGGAAAGGAAAACTTTTGGAGAGAGGCAGACACAGGAGGGCCCTGATGGCTGGATACAGTCATGCCTGTTCTCCCTCCATCTGGTTCTGAATTTTATGTGCGACTTCTTTGCTGGCTATATGTCTGTGCACCAGAAGCAGCTTGGTTCCCACAGAGGTCAGAAGAGGGCATCAGATCCCCGGGAACTAGAGTTATGGGTGGTGATGAAATACCACGTGAATGCCGACTCCTCTGCCAAAGCAACGGGGCTCCTAACCACCGAGACATCTTTCCAGACCCAAAATAATTTTTATAAAAAAATGTAATCAATTTAATTTCAGAACAAAACATTCCTTAAGAAACAGCGCTGAGGCTGCTTTCTAGTCATCAGGGCGCTGGCTTGGCCTGGACTAGCGCACTCTGCGTATGCACGCGGGCTCTGTTACCAGGGATACCTTAATGGGTCAAAGATACCTGTGACCTCTTGCAGATCAAAAGCAGCCCTGCGCCTAAAGTTTGAAGTCTGCAAGGAGCTGAGAGGCCACATAGAGCTTGTGCCAGAAACAGGCTACATCCAGGCCCAGTCCTCCTACTCGGTACAGCTCAAGTTCCTGCCTCGGTGAGAACTGGGAAAGGCCTGGAGCATGATGGGAGGGGGTGTGAACCATGGCTGCCTTGAGTTGATCACTCTGCTGGACACACACGTCCAGGACGTGCCCCCCGCCAAAGTAAGGGCACCCCGACCCTCCGTGCTCAGACGCAGTGAGCACCCCGACCCTCCGTGCACGAGGCCGACCACCCTGACCCTCTGTGCTCAGACACAGTGAGCACCCTGCCCTTGTGAGATCCTCATGTCTTCTGGTCGTTCACTGAGGTTCTGTGTCAGGTTGTAGCTTGCACTTGAAGCTGGTTTGTTTACCTTTATCCCAAAGCTCTAAAGGGGTTTGTGTCAGAGAAGCTGGCTGGAGAGTGAGGTGCCTGTGGACCTGCCCCTAGGCCTCGGCACTCAGCTAGTGAAGAGGACCAGAAGCTGCTTTTTGTTTTTTTTGTTTGTTTGTTTTGTTTTGTTTTTTTGTTTGTTTTTTTGATTTTTCGAGACAGGGTTTCTCCGTAGCTTTTGGTCCCTGTCCTGGAACTAGCTGCTTTTTAAACTCTGTCCTGCTTCATCATGACAAAGGGGAACTCTTTTCTTTGTACTTTAAAAAAATATTTCTATAATGATAGTAATTCTTTTTATAACCAAAAAATAAGTTTGTTTTTTTTTTTTTTTTTTTTTTTGAGACAGTTATAACCATGCATCCTGGCCTGGCCTATTCCAGGCATATACCAGCCAAGCAAACAAAAGCAGACTTTTTTCTTTCTCGGTTCTGGCGATGGAACCCAGAGCCCTGTGCTCCACCACCAAGGCGCAGAAAGCTCATGACCACCTGCATTTAGATCGATTTTTAAAAAAAGGATTTTTAGAATTCCTTCAAGTGATAGACTCCTTATCATTTTATTGATTTTTGTCTTTAAAACTTACTATTTTGTGCTAAAATGATGGCTCAGCAGGTAAAGGCACTTCCACAAGGTAGGAGAGCATAATCCCCTGACCCTCAGGAATGAACAGTGGTGTTTGTATTCCCCAAACAAATACATTGTAAATTTTAGTGTAAAATTATGGTTGCATACATCTATGAGATAAATGTGTATGTATCTTCACACACATACAGAGAGAGAGAGAGAGAGAGAATATTACATAATTAAACCATGATTCTTAGTTTTGGTTTTTAGTTTTTTGAGATAGGGTCTCACTATAGGGACCAAGCTGGTATCAAGGTCACAGAGAACCACCTGCCTCTGCCACTAAAGTGCTGTGATTAAAGGCACACAACACCACATTTGGCTAAGCCAAGCTCATTAACATTCTTTTTAATTTTTTATTCCAAATATACTTTTCTCTCATACAGTACATTCCAACCACACTTTCCCCCTCTCCTCCTCCTAGCTCCCTCCACTTCTCCTCTCCCCCAGATCCACTCCCTACTCTGCCTCTAGAAGACAACAGCCAGACAATTCAAAACAAGACACCATAAAGCAAGGCAAAAGCCCTCATATGGAGGCCGGACAAGACAACCTAGTGGGAGGAAGAGGGTCCCAGGAGCAGGCAAAAGAGTCAGAGATACACCCACTTCCACTGTTAGGAGTCCCACAGAAACACCAAGCTATCAGCCATAACATATCCACAGAGGACCTGGTCCAGCCCCCCGTGAATCCCATGCTTGCCAGTTTCAGTCTGTGAACCCTTGTGAACTCTGTGTAGTTGATTCAGTGGGCCATTTAATTGCAGGACGTTTACTTTTTAAAGTTAGTACACAAAATAATGGGTTTCCTTGTGTCATGTTCATGTTTCATATGTCATTATACCGTGGTCTTATTCATACTTGCCCTTCATATGTCATTATACCGTGGTCTTATTCATACTTGCCCTTCATATGTCATTATACCGTGGTCTTATTCATACTTGCCCTTCAATTTTAGAACAGGTTTTTTTTTTTTTACAAAATATAAAGAAGAAAAATATGTTCAAATGAGTCCTGCCTCTTGCAGACACTCCCTCCCTGAGGATGCAGGGAAGTATTTTGACGAGAACAGTCGCGTTCTGGAGGCTCCAATGACAATCTGGGTGGCTGACCAGGTCTGTATGAGACACTTTCTGGGAATGTTAAGCTCTCCTAGGAGACGGGTGGCCTCCCCAGTGACAATACCTAAAGAGATATAACCGACGTCAGGTCCCACCTTCACTTCCCAGCTGGTGACGTCCAGTAGCCTGACAGGCGGCTTTGCCTCCTGGTCACCTCACCCCTGCACAGTGTGAAAGAGCTCAGACACCTCACCCACATATGCACACATGAAATATGCCTGTGGGGCTGGAGAGATGGCTCAGCGGTTAAGAGCACTGGCTGCTCTTCCAGAGGAACCCCCATGGAAGCTCACAACTGTAACTCCTGTTCCAGGGAACCCAACACTCTCACACAGATGTACATGTAGGTGAAACACCAATGTACATAAAATACAAATAAATAAATTATTAAAAAATAAATATGCCTACACAGTTGAACATGGAGACACAGGTGAACGCACCCCATACACACAGATATACATGTTCTGCCCTCATCAACATGGGTTCACATATGTATGTGCTTACAAACAATGCGTCACACACAATATATCGCATGCCACATTGCCACACCTGGCCGATCTTAGGCTGCCGCCTGCGCTCCTTCCTAATCTTCACTGAGAAACCTGTGTTATGGAAATAGTGTACTCTTGTCCATGAGGCAGCAGAACCACCCTTGTAATTTGCATAAAGCTTCCTGTGGCTGGGAATGTTCTTTGCCTTTTGCACCTTAGAACAAACCGGTGGGGTTCACTGTCCAAGCCGTCGTCACTACCTCAGACTTGGAAATCAGCCCCTTGGAGATAAACTTTGGCTACTGCACCATCTATGAGGCTATCAGGACAGAAATAAGCCTCAGCAACCTCTCACTGCTGCCCCAGGAGTTTGGGTTCGTCGGACTTCCAAAGGTAGCTGCTGTGGTCATCCCTGGGGAGACAAGGCAGGACAGCGGCTCTCCAGGCCCAGGCATTGCAACTCTGCTGCCCTATGCTCATCCCAGTTAACCCTCTCCTCCTCCTCGATGCCCCCTCCCTGGCTCTCTCCTGCCTGCCTTCTAGGACTTTCCTTAGCCAAGCCCCACAGGAGAGTTCAATAGGATGCCCCAGGCCTCACTGCCATCAGCCCTTCCTAGGCTGTCCCTATCCACCCCCACACACCTAGCTTACAGACCCTCACACACACACAAATCTCTCATACTCTCGTATGTGGGCTCCCAAACTCCCCATACAGGGTACACAGGTTCCTACCAGCTGCTCTACAGAGCATGGTTTTTCACTTTGACTGTTTCCACTTCCCAGTATGTGGACATCCAGCCCAATGATGGGTTCGGGACAATTTTGCCGCTGGAAACTTTGCAACTTGATGTGATCTTCCAGCCCATTAAGGCCAAGGAATACAGATTTGAGCTGATTTGCAAATCCGAAATAAACCGGTAAGTCTACTAGACAGCAGAGACGTGACCATACTGTCCATCAGGACAGATCCCATCAGGCTGACCTCAGGGCTGGAGAGACAGCACTGGTGGCCAGTAGGAGCCCAGGACCCAGGAACACAGGTTTTAGGTCCCCATGACTTTTTACTTTGGACTAGTTTACCCTTGTACGTGAGGAGATTAAAAAAAAAAAACTGAGCTGACGAACATGAGTATTGTGAACACGAGCATCTCTGTGCAGTCAGGACATTGTGAAAAGTATCGTACATAAAGCACATCAAGTACACCGTCAAGGCTTGTCACTTGGCCTTCCCTGCTTCCCTGGGTTTCTCTTGGGAGGCCTAGGGTTATTCCAATGTGTTTGCCTTCGCAAGTTGGTATCTCGGGCACAGCTCAGTTGGTAGAGTGCTTGCCTCATATGCTTGAAGCCCTGAATTTGATCCTGGGACCACATGAAAACAGGTGAGGTATAAGCACCTGTCATACCAGCACGTGGGCGCGAGAGGCCGGAGGGCAAGAGTGCGGTTACCTTTGGCCACATAAAGTGGTTGCAACCAGCTTGGGCTACATAAAATCTGTCTCAGAAACCCAAAAATAAACAAAAACCTCCTTTTAAGATTTAAAGGGAGTTAGAAAGATAGCTCAGCAGTTACCGGCACTTCCTGTTCTTGCAGAGGCTATCAGTTCAGTTCCCAGCACCCGAGTGGTGGCTCACAACCACCTGAACCTCCACTTCCAGGCAATCATGCTTTCTCTGGCCTCCTTGGTCTCCTGCACACACACAGCACACATAATTTTTTTTTTTTTTGGTTTTTCGAGACAAGGTTTCTCTGTGGCTTTGGAGCCTGTCCTGGCACTAGCTCTGTAGACCAGGCTGGTCTCGAACTCACAGAGATCCGCCTGCCTCTGCCTCCTGAGTGCTGGGATTAAAGGCATGCGCCACCATCGCCCGGCATAGCACACATAAATTTATACAATTTAGTATGCGTGCATGCACACAAGTGCACACACACACACACAAATTTTTAATCTAAAGATTTAAGCCAGGTACAATGGAGTGTGCCTTTAATCCCAGCCCTCAGCAGGCAGATCTCTGTGAGTTCACAGCCACTCTGGTCTATAATAGTGAATTCCTGGCCAGCCAAGGCTACGAGGTGAGACCCTGTTTCAAAAACAAAACAAAAAAGGTTTGAGAGCGTGGGGATGGCTCAGGGGGTAAAGTGCTTGCTGTGGAAGTGTGAGGGCCTGAGTGTGAACCCTAGGACCCACACAAAGCGCAGTAATGTGTCAAACTGGAAGGGAGAGACAGTAAAATCCTTGGAAAACTCAAGGGCAAGCTAACCTGCCACATAGCAGTGAGCAAGAGCCACGGAAAGAGAGAGAGCTTTGGGCTTGTAAAACGGACCAAGCCTGGCAGCCTGGCAGAAGGAGAGAACTGGCATTCACAGTTTGTTCTCAGACCTCCACACACATGCATACCACACATACACAAACATGCTAAATAAATATGAAGAAATTTTTAAATAAAAAAGAAAGACCTTATCTCTAAACAAGATAGAAGGTAAGAACCAACTTTCAAAGTTGTCCTCTGACCTTTACCCTTGCACTGTAGCTCATGCAAGCACACACTTACACCGTGCATATACATATATCATATACACACATATATACATGTATTATATACACACAAACTGAAGAAAAATATTTAGAATTTTTAACTCAGTGGCACAAGCCTGTAATCCCAGCATTCAGGAAGCAAGTTTGAAGCCGTCCTGAGCTATATACTGAGCTATAGGCCAACCTAGATTACATAAAAAAAGAAAAGGTTCCAGTAATTTTTTATTTTATATTTAGTAATTATCATACTTTATACATTTATTTATTCAATTAAATATTAATAATGATCTCTCTACCCCAAAAGATGTTAACTTACATATCTGAATATTTGAACATCTGAACATATTTTGTATACGTGTGGGTAGGTTTGTGTGAGCATGCACATGTGTGTGTGCCTGTGGAAGTCAGAGATCTTTGGGTCTTGTTCCTCAGACACCTTCCACTCTCTCTTTGTGACAAGGTCTCTTGCTCACTTGGAACTTCACCAAGTAGACCAGGCTAGCTAGCTAGCTAGCAAACTTAAAATAAAACCTTTAAAGCCAGGCAGTGGTGGTGTACACCTTTAATCCCAGCACTTGGCAGGCAGAACTGTGGGCTCAAGGACAACCTGATCTACATAGTGAGTTCCAGGATAGCCAGGCCTACATAGGGAAACCCTGTCTCAATAAACAAACAAGCAAATAAATGAATGAATAAATGTAGGCAGATGTTTCTTTCCTACCCACCAGTTCCCAAATAAACACATTGAGGCTTAATATTAATTATAAATGCCTGACCAATAACTCAGGCTTATTACTAAACTAGCTCTTACCACTTAAATTAACCCATTTCTATTAATCTATGTATTGCCATGTGGCTCATGGCTTTACCTGTCCTGCAGCATGTTTTGCTCCCTCTGTGTCTCCTGGCGACTCCACCGACTCTGCCCTTCTTCATCCCAGCATCCTTAATTTGGTTGTCCAGCCTATACTTCCTGCCTGGCTACTGGCCAGTCAGCTTTTTATTAAACCAACTCTAATGACAAATCTTTTATTTTATTGATATTTATTGAGCTCTACATTTTTCTCTGCTCCCCTCCCTGACTCTCCTCTTCCCCTCTTCAACCCTCCCCCAAAGTCCCCATGCTCCTAATTTACTCAGGAGATCTTTGTCTTTTTCTACTTCCCATGTAGATTAGATCTATGTGAGTCTCTCTTGGTGTCCGCATTGTTGTCTAGGTTCTCTGGGATTATGGTTTGTAGGCTGGCTTTCTTTGCTTTATATTTAAAAACACCTGCGAGTGAGTCCATGTGATAATTGTCTTTCTGTGTCTGGGTTACCTCACTCAAAATAATGTTTTCTAGCTCCACCCATTTTCCTGCAAAATTAAAACTGTCGTTATTTTTTTCTGCTGTGCAGTACTCCATTGTGTAAATGTACCACATTTTCCTTATCCATTCTTCGGTCAAGGGGTACTTAATTTGTTTCCAGGTTCTGGCTATGACAAACAAAGCTGCTATGAACATAGTTGAGCAAAGGTCCTTGTGGCACGATTGAGCTTCCTTTGGATATATACCCAAAAGTGGTATTACTGGGTCTTGAGGAAGGTAGTTTCCTAATTTTCTGCGAAATCACCACGCTGACATCCAAAGGGGCTGTACCAGCTTGCATTCCCACCAGCAATGCATGAGTGTTCCCTTTTTCCCACATCCTCTCCAGCATAAGTTGTTATCAGTGTTTTTGATCTTGGCCATTCTTACAGGTGTAAGATGGAATCTCAGAGTTGTTTTGATTTACATTTCTCTGATGACTAAGGATGTTGAACATTTCCAATTAAGTGTCTTTCAGCCATTTTAGATTCTTCTGTTGAGAGTTCTCTGTTTAGGTCTGTACTCCATTTTTTTATTGGATTATGTGTTCTTTTGGTGTCCAATTTCTTGAGTTCTTTGTATATTTTGGAGACCAGACCTCTGTCTGATGTGGGATTAGTGAAGATCTTTTCCCATTCTGTAGGCTGTCGTTTTGTTTTGTTGACCGTGTCCTTTGCTTTTCAGTTTCAGGAGGTCCCTTTTTTTTTAATTGCTTCTCTCAGTGTCTGTGCTGCTGGGGTTCTATTTAGGAAGTGGTCTCCTGTGCCAATGAGTTCAAGTGTATTTCCCACTTTCTCTTCTATAAGGTTCAGTGTGGTTGGCTTTACGTTGAGGTCTTTGATCCATGTGGACTGGAGTGATAGATATGGGTCTATTTTCATTCTTCTACATGTTAATATTCAGTTATGCCAGCACCACTTGTTAAATATGCTTTCTTTTTTCCATTTGATATTTTTTGCTTCTTTGTCAAAAAAACAGGTGTTCAAAGATGTGTGGGTTGATATCCGGGTCTTGTATTCAGTTCCATTGGTCCTCCTGTCTGTTCTTATGCCAGTACCAGGCTGTTTTCAGTACTGTAGCTCCGTAGTAGAGTTTGAAGTCAGGGATTGTGATGCTTTCAGAAGTTCTTTTATTGTACAGGATTTTTTTGGTTATCCTGGGTTTTTTGCTTTTCCATATGAAGTTGAGTATTGTTCTTTCAAGGTCTATGAAGAATTTGCTGGGATTTTGCTGGGCACTGCATTGAATCTCTATATTGCTTTTGGTGACAAATCTTTACAGCAACAAAAGGATCATTCCACAGCAAACAAACCTTTAAAACAGTGCGTGTATGAACACAGGGTGAAACTGAATGGCTGAGTTCCTTCTTCACCAGCACGAGGACTTAGGTTTAACCCTCAGCACAGAAAACAAATGATGAGAGCTGATGAGGAGCCGGGGGCGATGGTGGCGCACGCCTTTAATCCCAGCACTCGGGAGGCAGAGGCAGGTGGATCTCTGGGAGTTCGAGGCCAGCCTGGCCTACAAGAGCTAGTTCCAGGACAGGGTCCAAATCAACAGAGAAACCCGGTCTTGAAAAAAAGAAAAGTTGATGAGGAAAAGTCTAGTGAACATAGGAGTTCAAAGAAAATATAGAATGTAAAACTTCCAGTGGTAAAAATAACCAAAAATAACCAACTACATGGGGCTAGAATTATAGCTCAATTGGTAGAGAGTTTGCCTGGCATGCACAAAACCCTAAGTTCAATATCATCACCCCATAAATAAGACAAGATGAAACACACCTGTTATTCCAGCACTCGGGAGGTAGAGAAAGGACAAATATAACTGTCAAGAAATATTCAATGTAAAAAGCCAGAAATCGGGGGCTGGAGAGATGGCTCAGTGGTTAAGAGTACCGGCTGTTCTCCTAGAGGACCTGAGTTTAATTCCTAGCACCCATGTGGCAGCTCACAACTGTCTGTAACTCCAAGATCTGACACCCTCACACAGACATACACGTGCACACGTAACTAAAAATAAAAAAAATTAAAAAGTCAGAAATCAACTCCTTTGACTACATTTTTCTTTTCTTTAAATTTTTATTTTTAGCCAAGCAGTGGTGGTGCATGCCTTTAATGCCAGCACTTGGGAAACAGAGGCAGAAGCAAGCGGCTTTCTGGGTTCAGGTCTACACAGCAAGTTCCGGGATAACCAGGGCTGTTACACAGAGAAACCCTGTCTCAAAAAACAAAAACAAAAAAAAAATTATTTACGTGCATGTGGGTTGGTTGCTTGTCTGAATTGCACTGTATGCACACAGGGCCTCCAGAAATCGGAAGAGGACTTTGCTCCCCTTGAACTGGAGTTTCAGATGGTTGAAGCCATCATGTGGGTACTGAGAACTGGACCTGGGTCATCAGCAAGAACAGCCAGTGCTCTTAGCCTCTGTGCTAATGGTTCTCAGTTTGTGGGTCAAGACTCCTTTGCGGGGGTCACATATCAAATATTTACATTATGACTCATAACTGTAGGAAAGCTACAGTTATGAAGTAGCAAAAAAATAATTTCATGGTTGGGGGTCACCACAACATGAGGAACTGTATTAAAGGATTGCAGCCTTAGGAAGATTGAGAACTCTGCTCTGAGCCATCTCTTAGCCCTGCAACCCTTATTTTTAAAGAAATTTACAGGTTTTTATTTTGTTTATATACTTTTCTTATACATTTTCCCCACATTAGTTAATTAAGTTGTAAACATCCGTGATGACCGTAGGACTAAGTCTTGGGCACCTGGGGTATCACCAGCTCAACAGGCCTGTCTGTCACAGTTGGTATGTGGGGAGTTATGTGTCTCCTCCACCCACGGTTGCCACCGCACAAAATGAGCGCCACCCACACTGGTTGCTTTCAGGTGCTTCAAGGTGTCTTGCCAAGCAGTGGGTGTCCACCCACCCCTGGAGCTGTCCCACTACCAGATCAAGTTTTCAGCCACGGCCCTGTGTGGCACCACTGTGTCTAGACTGTACGTCATCAATTCTCACCTGAGCATGAACAAACTGACCCACTCCTTGCCTCGAATTGGGTCTGAGGAAGCCACCCCAGTGGGACCCACATCCTTTGAGTTCTTGCCGCCCCCTAATTCGCCCATCACCATCTCTCCATCCGTGGGGACCGTGTTGCCAGGAAAGGTGAGCACGGGCCCCACTGACAGGCTAGGAGGCAGATGCCCAGTTTGGCACACTTTAACCACAGGTACTGGCGCACAGCACGGCCAAGGGTGAGAGCTGGAGACACGGTGACCCTGAGCTGGCCAGCACGTGCCTGCCTAGGGCTGGAAGGAAGGTGTGCAGACTATCAGAAGAGCCAAGTGTTGGCTCGTAGCAGACGGAGCTAAAGAAGGCCACGCAACACCTGCCTCAAGGAGAACAGCTGTGCGGCCCACTTCCACCAGTGTCTGTGTGGTCACCAGCAAGATTCAATGGATACAGTTATTTAAAAGATGTCCTGTAAAACTTCTGAATTAGAAATTCTAAGTTACCTCGGTATTGGTTCCCATCTCCCACTGAATTATGGAAGTGTCCAGCTCTATTTTCCTTCTTCTTCCTCTACCTTTGCTCCATCTTCTCCCCTCTCACTCTCCCATTCACTCCTTTCCTCCTCCGTCTTTTCTTCTTCTCCCTCTTACCTGTCATTTCACACCCTACACACACCCACTCCACCTCCTGAGCATCAAGGAGATGTGGTCAGCAAATCACTGTGGAATCTTTCTTGAGACATGTCCCATGGGGACTTGCTGCAGACGGAGAAGGGCTCCTTTGTTGCTAGGTTCCTTTCTTCTCTAGTCTGCTGAGGTTCTGACCCATTTAGGACCCTGCTCTCAGCACCTCCAGTTAACAGACCCCCAACATACATGGCCTGAAGTTCACCCCCAGCTTCCTAGGGTAGCGATCAGGGAGAACCTTCCTGGAAGGGAATATCTAGATTAAATTTAAAAAAAAAAAAAAGTGACCTTAAGAGAAATGCAGTCAAGCTTGGTGGCATATGCTTTTTGAGAGATAAGGGCAGGTAGATTTCTGTGAGTTTGAGGCTAGCCTGATCTACAGAGAGGGCTACACAGAGAGACTCTGTCTTGGATAAACCAGAGAGGGAGGCAGGGAGGGAGGGAGGGAGGGAGGGAGGGAGGGAGGGAGGGAGGGAGGGAGGGAGGGAGGGAGGGAGGGAACAGAACACTATGGGAGGAGGGAGGTGCCGCAGCAGGGCCACCTCTGCCCTCTGAACTTCTGCAGAAGGATAGGGAGTTTTGGTGTCTCTCTGCAGAAGTGTTTGGTCCAAGTGGTCTTCCAGCCTGTGCTGCCTCATGAGGTAATCCTGAAGGAAGCCATGCAGATCCTGAACAAGGAAAAGGAGAACAAACTGGTGAGTGAAGTATTTTAGAGGAGGTGCATAGCAGCCAGAAGGGAGAGGCATGGGGAGAGCAGAGCCACGGGCCGGTACAGGAGAACAGAGCCACGCCGGCACAGGGAGAGCAAAGCCATGCCGGCACAGAGAAGGGGGATGCAGTTGTGTGGTTCTCTGACTTCTGGGACTGCAACCTGTCCTGCGTGTCCCAGAAGTACAGGGCAGACTTTCCTGGCACTGTGCTCCGAGCTGCTCCAGGAGGAGTAGAAGATTGTCTTGCAAACCTCTCTCTCTCATGAAAGCACCACAGGCAGAGGGGGGTGAGGGCATCCCCAAGGGTGGCTGGAATTTTAACCAAAGCAGGACTGGGATAAAAACCCAGAATAGCCTCTCATGAAGGATAACACAGAAAGCATCTTGGGAAGGCAGCCTTGAAACAGTAGGCAAGCCTCACCCAACAGTATGCACAGCCTTACATGCTGCCCCAGTCTAGGGAGTTGTGAGGCCACTGGCTACAGCTTGTCCTGCCACGCCGTGGCCTCGTGCCTTTATACCACATACATGAGCGAAGAGCCCTGACCTTCCGCCTTCTGATGAGGCAGTGAGGAACCAGAAGGGCATGGACTGGAGGAGACTGAGGACCCCAGTGTGGCAGACTTCTCACTTCCCTGTGGCTTGTTCTCTCTAACGTCAGACCTTTTAGGCTATGAACTTGTTCTTGGAGTCTCTCGCTTGGGCTTCCCAGATGCCCCGGATGCTTGCCTGTCTCCACTGCTTCCTTTTTTCCCCTGATGTGCCTGCCGTCAGACTCCCCTAGAGAGCCAGTTGATTTGAGGGCACTGTTCACTCCACACTTGAACTGGTAGCTCCTGTCACTCAGCAAGCAGTCAGACCAAGCCTGCTAGGCTAAGCCTCAGAAGGGCCTGGGGCAGGGGAGCAGTGTAACACCTGCTGAGCAGAGGACTGAGCCCCTATAGTAGCCCCACAGCATCTGTTCCTGCTTACAGTTCCAAAAAGAAACAGTCCAAAGGAAGGAAACATGGAAACCATCAATGCCTGTGGTTCGGGTTCACAACCGGGACCGACCAACCCGGGCCTCCACACCCCACACTCAAGAGCTGCATAGGCAGGAGCTCAGTGTCAGGTAGGCTGGAGGGAACCTCCCAGTCTGTGTTTGACCTGCCCTGCCCTGATCTGTGCAGTTCAGCAGTGGGTTCTCCCCATGCAATGCCTGGAGCACAGCTTCACTGCTTGCGTGGCTGCAGATCCAGACTGTCTGGGTTCCAAAATAGCTGGGCCCAGGGCTCTTCTTCCAAGGCATCTACTCCTTGATTATTTCCATGGGCCTGATAGCCCTCTGAACAGACTGTGCCATGGTCTGACTTCCCAGTCTCCCCAATAAATAACTGAGCCCAAGAAAGCTCTGATGGGTTGGGTTGTGGACCCAGGGACAAGTGGAAGTGATGGAGACATTTACTCCCTCTTTCTGGGTGACCAGGGCCTGCAGTGGGGAAGAAGGTCCCTACAGGAGCCAAAGAAGGGTGGAAGAGTTAGTCTATCAAACAAAACTGGTGTGGCCACTGCCTGGGACCCATGGTAGCCCTGAGCTCTGCCTTTTAATGCTTTCACCCCAGAGAGTCCACCTGCGCCCAGAGCCCTAGAGAGCGGGCATGAGCATCACAGATGAGGAAGGTCTGGTCCCACTCAGAGCCTAAGAGGTCATGAGGTACATGCATGAATGTATGTTGTTGGTTTCATTCCAGCTCCAATGAATACCAAGCTGCACAAGCCAACTTGGCCAGATCCTTCCAGGGGAAGTTTGACAGGATTGTGGTCCCCTGTGTTGTTGCCAGTGGTGACATCAAAGACAGGAAGGAATTGGAACCTCTGAGCTTCAGGTGTGGGGTTCTTGTGACAGGATGGGGTATGATCCTTTTCCCTCCTCTACTGCTGGTCAGGTCTGAGGCCTGGGAGACAGGGTCACCCTAATCTGCCCTTGTTTGTCCTTGTCCTGCCTCTAGCCCCCATAATACTCTATATCTGGAGCTATGGTGCCCAGCAGTGGCTCCGTCCATTGTGCTGACATCCAACAAAGGCAATAGTGTCCTTAACTTTGGTGACATTGCTGTAGGTGAGTCCTAATTCTACACTGACAGCCCTTGCTCCTGAGAACGTATCTTCTACTCTCACCAGCCGCTCCCTGACCTTGCTGTGGAAACAGGTGCTCCTTAGGGGTCTAGGATCTGTAACCTGACTTTGCCACATTCCAGGGCATCGAAGTATAAAGAAGATCACCTTCCAGAACATTTCCCCTGAGGACCTTGCTGTATCCTTATCCATTCTCAGTGAGTCAGCTTCCAGGGGTGGACATGGGAGTGAGGTGCGTGGCAGAGCCTGCAAAATATTGTATTCCTCCTTGATACTCAGTCCTTAGTTGGAGTTCTCAGTGCTGAGCCCCAGTGGCCCCTTCGTTCTGATAAACCCCTCCAAGAAGCTGTGTTCTGGCGAGTCACAAACCCTGGCACTGTCCTTCTCTCCCCGTGAGAGCACGCAGGTGAGTGCAGCCCCCAGGCAGTACTGGTGCCCCAGACCCCCACACTGCAGGACCTTGGTGCGGCCACAAGCAGATACTACTGTGTTTTCAGGCCCAGGTGACCAGCGAGAGCCTGAAAGCAGCCTGTCTTTCTGAGCCAGCTCTTGTCAACAGTCTGTGGAGCCAAAGATCCCCAAGCCATCTCAGGGCACAATGCTTTCAGCCAGCTACTCACGGCAGAGTTCTATGTCTGCTCTTTGCTAAAGCATGTGATCTCCTTAGGTTCAAGAAATCCTGGACATCATCACCAAGAGAGACACCCTCAGCCTCACCCTGACCGGCACAGGTGTGGCATCCATGATCACATGCTCCATTGAAGGCAACATCCTCAACATGGGCTATGTGCTTGCCAGAGAATCTGTCTCAACAACTTTTAAGGTAAATTAAGCCCTTCCTTGTCCCAGCCCCCTGAAAAAGGATTTCTTGGAGCCAGTGAACTCTACATTTGAAAGTACCCAGCTGGTTGGGAAACACCTGAAGGCATAGATTGCCTCTCCCGAATTCTCTGTTCCCAAGAGGCTGTCATTTCTGATGTCTTCCTAGCAGGGACCTGAGCCTTTACTTGTGGAAAAGCTGGGAGCACCCTCCCTTGGCCTGAAGGATATTTCCTGTCTGTCTGCAGCAAGCCTTCTGCTTTGTTTCTCATTTGCTTCTCTTTGGAACTCTGCCTAGGTCCCCCACCCCCGTGGACAGACCTCTGTGGAGACCCATGCTGAGAGCTGGGCGCCCTCATCTCCCCATGAGCATGGTCTTGTTTCACCCTGAGGGCTACCCTGGGTTTGGACTCAAGCAACCTACTTGCCCACCTGCACTGGTGGGGTCCTGAAGTGGAGTGCCAGTCAGGGTGCTCTCCAAAGAGAGGGTTGAGGGAGGGGAAGAGACTAGGTGAGGATATAGTTCAGCTAAGAGGAGCTCTGAAGATCAGCTGACAGGCACAGAATTGGCCACACAGTTGGGCAGGGAAGCAGGCTGCCAGCCAGCCTCAGAAAAGGCCAGTGTGAGCTGAGTGACTGAATCCCAAACACTGTCACTGTGGTTACTATTGGCGATGCCACCAGAAAGGGCTTGGAGCATAATGTCACCTGGGCCCATCTGATGTGATCCAGCAGCAGGCAATCTCATTAGGGACGCTGGCGTCGGGCAGCTGAGGGTTCTTTAGCTGCGTGAATTCTTGCTCTTGCAGCTACAGAATGAATCCTCACTTCTTATTAAGTTCTGGATGCAGCTGGAGAGTCTCTCCAGAAAAAGGGATGAGACCCGGCAGCAGCTACCCAAGTTCCTTACCTCCCGTGAGCAGAGGACTGAGATTGTTGGTGAGTTGACTAACACACTGTCAGGAGTCACAGGGCACAGAACAGAGCAGATATGCGCTGGGCAATGAGGGTTCTATGTGGCGTGGAGTTGGGCAAGACCAATCACGAAGACACCGGGCAAGAAGGAATGCAGGGGGGTGTCCTGGCAGTGCCAATCCTAACCCCGTCCCACCCACAGGCACACAGAACCACAACGGGCAGAGCGTATTCAGTGTTGCTCCAGTTGAGGGACTCATGTACCCTGGGAAGGCTCAAGAATTCACTGTAACCTTCAGTCCAGACCATGAGAGCCTCTACTTTTCTGACCTGCTCCACGTGGTGCTCTTTGAGAAGGTGGAGCTCATAGCAGGGCCCCCACAGATCCCATCCTGCTCTGGGAGGGACTCCTGTGTGTCCCTCCTCTGCCCCTGATGGGAGGTGTTTATTATCTGGCACCCCGTGTTGGAGGATGTCAGGCAGGGATCAGCATCCCCTCAACTCGCCTCAGTTCCCAATCCTCAAGCCGCAGGGCAGTCTGCTATACTTCTTGTCCCCAGAAAGTCTTCCATCAGATCCTCCTGAAGGGTGCTGCCCGTGAGCACATGATGTTTGTGGAGGGAGGAGACCCACTGGATGTGCCTGTGGAGTCCCTGACAGTGATCCCTGCCTTGGACACAGAACATAGAGAGGGTAAGCCCCCACCATGTGATTTCTGGCTCAGGGAAAGGGGAGGCAGGGATAACCTCGGGGAGCGGTGAGCGGGGCCCTCCAGCACCCCAAGCCCAGTAGGCATGCATACTGAGGCCCATTGGAAGAGCAGATTTGCTGCCCATCAGCCCCAGAGCCAGGTAGGATGATCTCTACAAAGCAGATTGTTCTGGGAAGTTCCAGCCTCACTCCCCAGCTCTGTGTGCTGCCTGACCCTGACAGCTCCCCTCACTGCCTGACCCTGGTCAACTCCCTCACTGCCTGACCCTGGTCAGCTCCCTCACTGCCTGGCCACATCTTCCCTCGTAACCACTTCTCAGCTAGATCTCCCTCTCCAGAAGCTGAGGAGATAAAGCCCATTCTGGTGACCTTGAACTACGTCCAGTTTGACACAGACACGCCAATCCCACCTGCCACCCGAGAGCTGCAAGTAGGCTGTATCCGGACTACCCAGCCGTCACCAAGGAAGGTGATTACAACCCTAGCTTGGTTCAACCCCAGAAGCCTCCTTGGCCTCCCGCAGGATGCTTGCAGCAGATGTGGGGTGGCGGCCCTGGTCAGAGCTGAGGGGTAGGAAACGTTGGGCACCCTCATCTCTCTGGTCCCTGACCCTCTAACTTGCAGTGGTCTCAATGCCTCGCAGACTGTGGAGTTCAGCCTGGATGGTGTGGCATGGCTGCAGCACAAGGGCTTCTCTATCGAGCCATCCAGGGCTTCTGTGGAGCGCGGTCAGACCAAGACCATCAGCATCTCCTGGGTACCACCTGCTGACTTTGATGTAGGTGCTGGGACCCAGGCTGGGCAGGGAGGGTTGGTGAAGTAGGCAGGGCACTGGGAATGAACAGATCTGTCTGGAAAGCCTACTGAGGAGCGTCTCCTTCCAGCCGGACCATCCACTCATGGTGTCAACCCTGCTGCAGCTCCGGGGAGACGGAAAGGAAACCTACAAAGTCATCTTTGTAGCCCAGGTGGTGGCTGGGATCTGAGGTCAGAGGAACCCGCAGAGCCTCTTGGACCCTCCCACCCACCCTTGAACTCCTTCCCAGCCTTGTGGGCCAGGGACCTGGGCATTTCCTGCTGGGCAGGTTCAAATGAACAGCCCTAGAGACAGAGCTCCCCTGCCCTAGAGACATGGCTACTTCCTGCTGCCCTGAAAACAACAAGACTCCCCAGCCATACATGCAAGCCAAGAAATACTAATCCATCCTCACACAGCCTGTTCCTAGATGCCCCACCTCCACCCCCAGATCCCAAGCCCACCAGCACCTCCTCAGGCTTTAGAGATCCCAGGAGATAGCGCAGGCCTGTCAATAAACTCTAAGAACCAACAGAAGTGTGCAGTGGTCGGGGTGGGGTGGGGGGCTGGCTAAGCACAAAGTAGGGTGGGAGGAGAGCCTGGGGGAAGCCTGACCTACTCTCCCCGCTCACAGACCCCAACCCATAAAACAGTGTTCTGTCTAGTGAGAACCTTCCAGAGGGTGCAGTCTTGCCAGATAGCTAGAGGGACCCTGACTCAGTCACTGGAAGATCCCTCCAGATCATGCAGTTCAGGTGCTGGGGGTGCAGAGCCAGGGTTGAGCCTGGTCCAGACCTGGAAAGGTGAGGGAGGAGAAGGGGAGGACAAGAGGTGTCAAAGCCCAGAGAAAGTCCCCTAAGTCTCCCAGCTCCTCCCAAGTCCCAGAAACCTAGATGATCCCACCCTAGGGATGGGCAGGCACGAAGGGGGCCCAGCTTGTGAGTTTCGGTTTACATTTGTCTGAAAAGAACAGATTTTGCCTTCCAGGCCCTAGGCCACCCAGCCATACTCCTGCTCCAGCATGGCGCCAACACAGCTTATCGGACGCTTTCCATCCAGCCAACCCTCCTATCCATGCAGCGTGACTACACCCCATGGGGACAAGCTACCAAGAGAGCCTTCTCAGCCTTCCTCGGCCTGGCAGGGCCATGGCGGGTGATGGATCTGGGTGCTCTCCTGAACACTGCTCTGTGTTCTGTCCTTAGAGCCCTTGATACCTTGACGCCTGGCATCGCCCCTAAGGGAGCCAGCAACATTTGCAGGATTTCTGCTCAGTGACCTTGGAGGTACAGTGCCCCAGGCCTCCGCTGCCGTGACTGGAGCTGACCCTTGACCTGTTTCCAGGTCAGATGGGTGGCAAGAAAGCAGCTCCACTAAACCAGTCTGAGATTCGTGAGGACATGCTCTGGGGAGAAAGCACTACCCCAGGCAGGCCACGCTATCCCACCTAAGTCCTCTCTTCTCTGGACCCCAGGCTCTGATCTGGGCCTCCGGCTGCACTTTCTTCCTAGTCTGGTGCTGTACCCCTCCCCCAGCACCAAGCATAGCTAAGGCAGAGCAAAGGAGGGAAATAAAACAGGAGAGAAGTTCACCAGTCTCTGGCAGAACGGGCCCTTGACGGCAAACACAGGTCAGCTGTAGACAGAACCCTGAAGGACTCTCCAGTGAGGGAGAAAACCTGAGTGTGAAAACAGTGAAGAAACAGAGGCAGAAGGGAGGGCAGGTGCACCTCCTGTCCTTAATCAGACCGCCCCTGCAGTCTGATCCCTGAAAGGCAGAGCAGCCTGGCAGAGGACCTAGCCTGAAGGAGGAAAGATTAATAAACTCCCCGGGAAGAAGTGGCCGCTTCAGCAGTAGAAGAAGCAGGCATTTCAGGTTGAGGGAGAGGGCTGGAAAGTGGTCTGTTTGCCGCGCCTCAGCAGCCCGGAGCCAGGGGCTGGCTCCAGATGTATCCCCGTGGAGGACGCATAGCAAGCGTCCTTGAAGGGCGGTTTGGAAAGCTAAACCCCAGTTTATTAATGGTGTAGACCCCACCCCTTTTACCTAGAGGATTGTGGAGTATGAGGGTGGAACAAACCAACGCAACCCACAAGTTTCAGGAGACCTGGTTTGTGAATGGGGATGGGAAAATGGAGGATAGGGGTGGCTGGGTGAGGGGTCAGTATGATACAAGAGAGACTCGTGTCCCATGCCTAGAGCAAGACCTGCTCTATTCCCTCCTAGGGCTCACATTGGTCCTTGAAGACACAGAGTGGGGTGTGTGTGTGTGTGTGTGTGTGTGTGAGAGAGAGAGAGAGAGAGAGAGAGAGAGAGAGAGAGAGAGAGAGAGAGAGAGAGAGAGAGAGAGAGAGAGAGAG